GAGAGTCTGAATCACGTCGGCGGTGTTTTCGACGGGAACGGCCGACTGGGCGAGATCGGCGGCATGCTGAGGGCTGAATAACGTAGCTGCCGTGTCGGGAGCCCTCGGGCCTCGTGAGGGATACTGGTGTTTTAGGTAGGTTTTGACGGCTTCTGGTAGCTCGCTGAAGTACTTGTACAGGCCAAAGGCCAGTCCTCTACATATCTCGTCACCTTGAAACTCGCGCGGCAGGTAGTCGACAACATCGTAGAAGGGGGAGTTGGGAGAGATGGTGATACGGTGAAAGGACATGAACCCAGCCGGGCTATAGACATGGACCTGAATGCGCGAGCTGTTGAGGGTGTAGTTTGCTGTCGTCGAAGGGCCGTGGAAGATGAGGACCGGGAGATGGCCCAGCAAAGGGTCGGTGGTGTAGTAGAGTGTGACATGCTCTGGCGAGATGGCCAGTTCCTCCGTGACACGAACCATATTGGCCTCAATTGGTCGCCGTGCTCATGACGCTCTCGCGGCCGATATTGGGGGGGAAAGGTGGAGAGATGGTCGCGCAAGAAGGGGGAGGTAGGCGACAAGGTTTGCGACAGACGACTGATGACTTGCGACTTGGCGGGAGATGTGTTGGGGGTATAGGCGGCGTCGACTCTGTGAGAGGCTGTCGTCGGGACCAGCCCCAGGGAGGTAGGGGGGAAGGCGCAAAGTAAACAGACGGATCGAGTCGTCGGAATCAGGGAGCTATAGGCTTATCGACGGCGGCAGTATGCAGGGAGGGAGGACGACTTGGTGGCAGCTATAGCGAAGCCCTGGGAAGAGCAAATTGTCTCGAAAAGGCTCTCGGTCGCGCTGTCTCTAATCCGTGTGCAGTCGGGTCGGTGCAGGTTGAATCGGTACGTATCCTAAGTGAAGAGGTCGGGACGGTATGTCTTTGGCGGCTCTGGCCTTGGCTGGGTAGGTCAAGGTAGGTAGGCAGGTGGTGGTGGTGGTGGTGGTGGTGGTTGGGATTTGGCGGTGCAGACCTGCAGACACGGTGACTTAGCAGCGGACAAGGTCGAGCTTAAGAGAGTTGCACTGCAGCTGTGGCGCCAAAGTTATTTCCGCCTTTTGGGGACGAAATCGTAAATAAACAACAATAGCGCAGAAGCAGGCCGGGCATGGAGCTGGGATAAGGGCCATGTACCTGGACGTTGAGTGAAGAGAGATTGCGCTGGCGGCGTTGGACCAAAAGCCGCGACAGGGGACCTCTTCTTCCTTTTTTGGGCCTAATATTACGGTGTATGTGGAGGTACTAAGGTATGCGGCTCGTCGATATAGCAGCTGGCGTCTTGGAAATATTTGCCGATTAGATAGAAGGTAATGTATGATGTATGTTGTGGTAATCGTGATTTGTACAACGAACTCAAAGCTGGGTAGAACGTGGTGCTGCTTGGTGCATGGTAATTTGCAAAAGAAGGGAGAAAAGAGAAACGATGGACTAGTTGATTGGTTGGTTGGTTGGTTGGTGGTGAGTGACCGACTGGTGGTAAAGCGAGCGCAAGCTGCAAAAAGAGCAGCAGGCAGTGACGATGGTTCCTCTACAGACGGGAACCCAACATGCAAGAGCGATGGACGGGACTGGTACCACTACCACTGGACTGGACGACGCAGGTCGACGATGCAACGTAGCGTAATCGTGAGCCCGGTTCGTCGGGACTGAGGGAATGTGAGGTTGAAAGTTTGGTTCGTTGAACAGGAAAGACCAAAAGGAAGGAAATTAGAGCGAAACGACACAACAACGAACTGGCCTGAGTGAACGGACGGGGAACGGGGGGCCACGGGCTCGGGGGGGAGGATCATGTCAAGCAATGCGACATGGGGTGCTGCCCTGGAGCTGGAGAGCTGCCGTGGAGTTGGGCTGGAGCTAGACTCCTTGACCGATGGCCGGTGGCCGGGATGTACCGTGTACCGGGGCTCCGGGGGTGCTTGCTTGCCCTGCTTCCTTCGACCGCTACCGCTTCCACTTTGTCGGGGAGATATCGGAGCTACCGGGCGGTGACGCTCTCTATAACTGAATGATGCGGAAAACGGACGTCTGGAAATTAGCAGTAATAGCTTCGTTGTGGTTTTCGCAAATGCACCGCCCAACGCTCGCCGTCAACCTTTTTTCGCCGAACTCTCGCCTTTCTGCTCGTCAACCCACGCGTCCGTGGTTCACCAAAAAGGGATATTACATACATACACCACAAGCCCGTTGGAGTGGATCCCCCTGGTCTCTTGATTTCTTCCGATTCCTTTCTTGGCTCTTGCGTAACTTTGTGGCTTCGCTCTCATGGCGTGCATTTGGCTCTCCCAATGGGTCATTTTACCCCACCGAACAGAGAGAGAAGGAAGCTGAAAGTGTGAACGTTGTTGAACAGTTTGATTGCGCTCCCCGCTGAAAAGGCCTTGGCATTTGTGGTTTGGCGGAGAGAAGGTCGGGCAGGTGGTCCGAGCTCCTTTATATTATAGACATTTAACCCTTCCGTTCCCGGTCCCTGTCGGTCGTTTGTGCCTGAACTCCACCACTCAAAACACCGGGCAGCAGACCTGGGAAGATGGAAGCTTCAGCGAATCCAGGCACACGACACAACTCCGCCGCATGAACGCCAGGGCTTTGAATTGTGTCCTTGTTTTGACGACCATCGCGACCTCCAACCCTTCCTTTCCGGCCATTTTCCGGCCCCTGACTCTCGTTCGGGAATTGTGCAAAAAACACCATCATTCACAAGCACGATAATATCGATGTTAAGGTCAAGAAGTATAGTACTTATATCAACCGATGCGCGGGCTAGTACCAACGACTCAGCCTCCTTCGACTTCTTCTTTGCCATGAATTATTCTTGGATTTCTTGGGTCGCGTCCCGAACCTGAACCCGGATACTTCATGCCATTCCTTATCGATGATCGACATCACACCCGCCATCCGAATATTCGGGAACGTCCGCCTTGGTCAGCCTTGCATTTCTGGCAATCCGACATCCATGGGCCATCCACTAGACCACTACCACATCTGCATCGTTGTCGTGCGATGTGTATTTCTTGCAGTCCATAGTCTTTTTTGGACCTCCTGGCTAGGGGCTACGGAACCGGCTAAGGGGCACTCACATGGTTGATATTTATAACCACCATCAAATATCGGATGAACACCCTACGCGAGACATTTCTCTCCACGATAATGCGCTCGATTTAGTATTTCAACGGTGACCCCTGAGAGCAACGATTTGAATGGCAGAAATGGCTTTGGCGAGCTTCCCGAGCGGTGCCCTGCACGGTGCCAGCCGACATTGGATGACCACAAATCCCCCCCTTTTAAACCCTAACCCTTTTCTCCTCGGAGTGGACCGAAGAACGACATCCCAACTTCAACTCTCCAAGTCCCCAACCTGCAGTGGTCAGTCATTTTGCACCCAACACTCAACCATCAGTACTCAGGACTGGGACCCCTTTTGACCTCTTTCTTTCCTCTGATTTCATTTACCAAAGAAGTTAATCAAAGGACACTCATCACAACCACAAGAACATGTCGCTGCGAACTTGGAACTCCGCTCCTGACTGAACAAAGATAAACCGATCTGTGTCCTGATGCACCGACCTCTACCCACCGACATTTGCTCCTTCTAAATATCGTCATCAATCTACTTACCTACTATTGGATCTCAAGCAGATCACGAGAGGATAAACGTATTCCACATGATTCGGTCCTCGTCTTCACTGTGTCGTTCACACAATGCACAGCTGCTTACCTAACTGTTGGGTACAGAGGCGCGTGAGGGGCCTTACCGCTCCGCTTCAGGGGCAGTAGCAATGCAGGACGCTAAACTCCTAACACATGATTTCTTGTTCATGCAGAACTCATGTTAGTCACTCGGCGTATTAAACGTCATCCTCTTTTTGAAATCGCGCAAAGGAAATTGAGAGTAATGTGAAAATGACCTTTCCTTCTATAACTGTCCTTTTCGAATTGAAATTTGCCACAGAACCTGCCAAATACGATCGCTGTTCGGAAGGCTCAATTCGCCAACTGGCTTCGTTCTTACCTCTAAAATGTATCCCAAGTCTATCTTAGCGTACGACCCGCGCACCTGCCTGGCGTCACCGCATTATGCTCTTTCGATGATTCCTGCGGCAAGCGCATTTGACTGGGATGAACCTTCCATCTCCTCGATCGGCACTCGGGCCGAGAATCTGAATGGATGCCATGGGATGTTAAGCACAAGTCGGTGGCTTCGGTTGAACCTACCGCTTTTACACTCGTTTCCCCCTCATGGTGCGGTGATGTTTTCTTAAGCAGCCAATCAAGCTCACTTCGCTTCTTGACGGCTCACTCCCGACACAATAATGCTCATTGCGCCGCTAGGACAACTACCGTTGTTTCCTTTTTGTTTTGACTAATGCCGATCGCATCTTCTTGTTGTCCTTCACGGAAGGAAGTTACACGTCGAAGGATGGGATGCTCGTGTGGAAAGTTATGTTTTTAGGAGAAGCGTTTGGCTTCTATGGTGTTATCGAAAAGACAGCGATGTCGAAGAAATTCACATATCAGGAAGAATATGTTAATTTGATAGACCTTGGCCGAAGATAAACTGCTCAAGTTTTTGACCTCCCAGACGCTGGGCCCTCGAAGCAATAGGGCGATTCCCTTGTCCGTGATTGTTCGTGGAACAGTCATCCAGCGGAATGCATCTGACGTCGCCTATACCTGCATCACTTTCGATCCTCCGATCCTCCGATCTCGCAGCATATGCTAGACGTTTCACTACTCAAGAGGTTAATATGCCTATTTTACCTGTTCCTATCCTCACTTGACGTGTGTCAATTGACTCAATGAAGAGATAGAAAAGTGCTGTGGTTACTATCTAGTGGCCAGCACCGGTCGCAATCATCATATCCATGCCCAATTCTACAGTCCCTGTGCTTGAAACCGCCGGATACTTGACCCTTCCCTCGAACGAGAATACGAGAGCCTCAACTGACTCTCAGCCTCAGTCCATTATCCCAATTGCTCCGAATTTCCAACAGTCCAACACTGCCACTTGTTCAAAAACCTTCACAAGACAGAACCTCCTCACCCGTCAACGCCCTCGGCGCAGTGACCTTGAAATTCCCATTCTGAAGCACCTTCCCCTCCACTCTCAGATAGCTCTCTCACTCTTTTCTCTCTCCATCTTAGCCACCCCTTTGATCTCCAAAACCTCAGGTCCGGGTAGGTAGGTAGGTAGGTAGGTACTCACCTCAATCTCCCAAACAGGCGGATTTCTTTCCCAAGGATCTCCAAACTCCCTCCTCAAAAGATCTCCAAGACTAGTCGGATTGATGTCGAACATTGCTCTAGGATAAACAATGGTTATTCCAGTGTCAAGACTGGTGGATCCAGCTCGTCCGTCAATGGCAACCGCAGTTTCACGCTCGTTACTACCTCTAGAGTTGGAGGTGATTACACTTGCTGCGACTGTGGATGCGAAAGCTGCTTCCGCTTCGGCTTCATGTTCGTCGACGACAGGAGGTGCAGTTCTCGAGATGGCAGATGTACCGTTCAGGTTGTTGTTGTTGTTGTTGTTGTGAGTTCTGTTGATGGTTGTGCCGCTAGTGCTGATGGGAACCCCATTGATGGTTGTTTGAATGATGTTGGTACCGTTGATTGTGATTTCGCTGATGTGAGTTCCCGAGATGGTGGTCCCGGTTATGTGGGTGCCGTTTATGGTAATGTCTCTGATATGGGTGCCGTTGATGGTTGTTCCAGTGACGTAGGTCTGGTTTGGGGTAGTGACTCCCCCTGTTCCTGTTCCTGTTCCTCCTCCTGCTCCTGGGGTTGTGGTGTGGGTGGAGGGTTGACCAGAACTACTGGTTGCGGCTCTGTGGGCTGGTAAGTGCATTTGCACTATGGTGCCTTCATCGCCATGGTAGCCATTCGTGAGATGGCCGTTGGTTAGAGGGTGATCATCATTGTTGGTGATTAGACCGGGGTGTCTTGATCTTTGAAGGTCTACCTTTACGGTATAAGTGTCTGCGGGGGGACCACTCATGCTGGTGTCGTTTCTGATTGAATCAGACCTGATTCTTTGCGGAGGGATGGCTGTTAAGATGTAAAGGCTCAGATGCAGTTCTGGGGGAAAGTTCGATTGATGATTTATATATCGGACCACTTTTCCGTCCTGGATCTGGTAGGAACTTGGATATTCGAAGATCAAAGACATCTTGGAGCAAAAAGCACATTGTGCTCTTTGTAGACACATCAAATGAAAGGAAGCGTCACTTACGTAGTAATGATCCTTTTTTTCATGTTCTTTTCAACTCTCTTTTGTTTTTTATTTTGGGTATCGTTTGAGGTCAACGTAACCCCAGTAAAGACTGGACAGCCTTCCCCAACTATGCAAGGAGGGCTTGATTGAAAATTCACTCGTCTCGCATGATTACCTATCTTCACCCAAAGATACAAGAATGGTTGTATATGCTTTCACTTTCATCATTATCTTTACCCTTGGTAGGTCTTCATACAGAGACAAAGGTCTTAAGATGAGGAACTGGCCAACGTCCAGTAGAGGTAGCCAAGCATTGACAAGGACATCTCCTTAGAAGATTTACCTCGTGAACTAATTCACGAGTAATCGTTCACATTAGCATCAATCTTTTCATACCTCTATCTATCATCCATTCATGATTGAAAGCAAACCACCCGGTGTTATCGCATCGGCTCTTGTCAGTTCCGGCTCGACTTGCTTTTCCAGGGGCATGGTTCGCATCCGTACTGCTCTGAATTCTTGCAACTTTCCAGCATCTTGGTCAGTTTTACGTGAACTTGCTCACTGGTATACCTGAATTCCTTGCTCCCATTCTCCCTGACTATGAGCAAACCATCCTGAATCATCTCAAGGAATTCGTGGAGAAATCTGGTGCATCTCGGGTCACAGTGGAGTCTTTCGATGAACTAGTGTTATGTTAGCACTACATGTGCACATGGCCTTGTGAAATGATGGGTTGGCGAGAAAATGGAGGGACGGGAAATGAGTGAACTATAGGATGTAGTTACCTTGGTTACTTGTGGCTTTACTCTGGCCGTCATGCGTGCTGGACTTATGCCGAGACCTTCGAATTGGAGCTCGAAAAATGTGGCTGTCTTGATTCCGAGTGAAGTCCAAAAAGGTTGGTGGTCAGTCGCACTTCGGCTGCGTGTGAATTCCTCTAGAAGGCTCCATCCTCCAATCATCCAAGTGACAATCTCGAGGTAAACACAACCCAGTGTCCACATGTCGTATTGTCTCCCAGGAGGACCACAGTTCATGAGGTCAGCTTCGGGAGCAGAATAGTCTCTCGAGCAAGGAAACTCGACCAGGTTTCTCGAGATGGTGCGGTCTGTGTTGATAGCAGCGAGGCCGAAGTCCGTTAGCGTGAGGGTCCCCGCTTGAAAACCCGACGGATCAGGGCTGCTCCCGTGCCCATCTTGAAACCACAAGATGTTCTCGGGTTTGATGTCGCCATGATGACCAAACTGAGCGTTTTTGTAATCCCTTGCCTCAAGGTTGCTCCAGTTACCCGACCGATACTGATGGATTGCCGATACTCCATATGCAATTCCCTGGCATTGCTTGGCAACCCATAATACGGTCGAGCGGTTCATTCGTGGGTTCGGATGTATTTCCTGCCAATAAGTTCTCAGGTTGCCCTTCGCCAGTGGAAAAATCAGGTAATAGTTGCCACTGTGCTCATAAGTGGCCAACAAAGAGATAAGATGCTTGTTCTTTTCATTGCTAAACCTTCTGAGCACATCAACCTCATTTTTAAACTGCTTGAAGACTGCGGGTGAGGAGTGCAGCTTTTTGATTGCAAAGTGGCAGGGGCAGATGTCCATAGAATGGGTGGCGGCGTCGATAGATCTGTTTGCTTCAGGTGTAGAGGCATTAAGAGGACACTAGGGAGCATGTGTTATCAGCCAAAATCCTAGATACGGGGAGACTAGATACCACCTACATATGTGTAATGGAATGAATGATGATCAGGATGAATCCTGACTTTGGAGACACGACCGCCCCCACCCTCAAACTCAAATACACCTTCTCCGTACACACCTTTGATGAACGGCAAGGGAATTTTGCCACTCGATGAAGTGTAATGGGACACAATTTTGTCCTCGTCCGATCTCTTGAAGATAGGGGCCAGTGTTGTCCATTGCTTCTCTTCAAAGTTGATCATCTGACCGGTCGTCCATCCAGCACGGAACAATTTGATCTCAACTCTGCCGTCTTTTGCATTCGATCGTCGAAGCTCAGAAACAAGTTTCTTGGACGGCGGATAGTATGCTTCAAGTGGGAGATCGGAGTCATTGACGTCCTGGTCCAAGAACTTGACGATAGCTGCCGTCTTCTCGATCATAACCAGTATGGCAAATATCTTTCGAAATGATACACCTGGAATGCTGGTAGATGATGTCCCGCAGACCTTCTGTGCCGTTGTCCATATTTCATCTCGATCGTAGATATCGAGGGAAAGGCGACCAAGGAGCTCCATATAAACCGTTTGTTCATTGAGTATGTGTGAGAGTGATTTGGCCGGGAAGAAGCCTCTGGTTATTTGATCATTGCCTTCTAATGCCCTGTATATCCGATCCTGTAGAGTCTCTTCAGGATATCTCATGGGCCAAGCTCGAAGAATACGTGGAATCTCAACAACCGGTTCACAGCCTTGATTGTTGACATCTTTGCCATGTATTGGCAGTCTCTATCAGGCCCAGTGGGATTAGCTTTTGAGCCAGTTCAGGGGGGTGGGAGGTCAATCAATAACTTGACCATGAGAAATTGACACGTGGAAAAGCTTACGAGCTCCTCAAAGGATTCCTCGATTTTTGGCTTCCGTTCCAGGTTTTCCGTTGGGCCAGTAGGCCAGCCATCATTATCAAGTGGATGACAGTGGTTTTCTTCCAAAAGGCTGAGGTTATCGGACGGACTAGAGGTATAAAAGGAGCCGTAATCCTCGGAGTCAATAACGCTGTGTGAACCTTGGCTTTGCACATCCGCCGAGCTGCCTTGCTGGTTTATGACAGGCTGTTCTGCTTGGGAGAGTTTGTTGGCTCGAGTGATACTGATGGTGGGAATTGGGTTTCTGGCTGGTCCGGGATGGGTGCGAGACATGGTAATTGCTTGGATGTCCGTTATTGCGGGCCATAAACCTGTTCCCAGAGCGCGCTGTGACCACTATTCTAGCCAGTTGGATAGAAGTGAGCATCCTTTGGAATGAAGCAAAGCCATACATAAGCAATTCCAACTGAGATGGCACATTATGGCAATTGAAGGTTAGTCGGAGCTTTGTTACCTGATCTATCGTGCTGAGTACGCAGTGCCTCGGAGGCGCAGCCATCACGTTAGTTTAGCACTGTTGCTGAACTCAACACACCAACCCGGGGTAGGGTATGGCAATTGCGGTAAAGGAGGCATAATCTGCCTGGAGTGTATGAGGTGGGTTACATTTTCCAGGTCGGTCAAGAGAGGCCACAACAGGCTGATAGCATTTTCGTCTCGCCACGCCCGTCGCGCGGCCCAACAAGGCGCACCTGTGGGCTTTCCCGACAGCGAAGACATGACATCCAATGAAGACAGCTGTTCATGGACAGGCTGCGGAATGCCTGCGGTAAAAATATGCCCGGTGGAAGTATATGACCAGAGGAGGTAGCCTGTCGGTGACCACGCCCCATTTTCTTGCATGTGAGAGCCTGACGCTTTTCTCAAAATGCCGAAACGCCAATCTTTGGGGGTACAGTACGTGCTCGTCTGTGCACTCAATCAGCTCGTGCTACCCGTGGGTGGCTGTGAGGACGCCCAGCCAGAAGGCGACTGTGTCGATATATAGGGGACAGGGTGCATTGATGAACTTAGCTGTTGGGCTCATCTTGATGTTGAACGATTGAAGAGCATTGGATTATCATTGCAAGTTCGGCTTACTTACCGGCAGTCCGTCCGTTAGGAGGAGCCTTGTCACCCATCCACACGTCCGAGGCACGAGATCCAGACACTAGTCGAAGCAAGCACCACCACCAGCACCAGCACCATATACATCTTCAACAATGACAATTCACGACAATTGCTCGGAGAGATCAGCCACCAACGCGGTGAACGAGTCCGGGGTTCCAGTCGATAGTTCACTTCCCACTCTCGATAACCAAGATCTTGTCTATCAAGAGCTTCCAGCAAGGATAACGAACCCCGTGAAGCTGGTGGCATTGTTGAGAATGGAGTTTGGGATTGGAAGGTTCGACGTCTCGGTAAGTAAGGTACCCCAAGGAGAGGAATGAACACTACACCATGCAATTGGTCTTTGTGAAGGCATGACTGCCTCCTCGGGATTAGTATGGATCATGGTAGCTCACATTAATTAATCAGATGATTCGGAGTGTTTACAGTGTTGGCACTCCCCGAAAACTCTCCGTCGAAGAAATTTCACGCTGTAGGGGCTTATGACCTGCTCGATGCATGAAGCCATGGTCACAGCCTTTGCCTTCCATCCTTACCTCAGCTTACTCTCTCTCGTTTCATCGATGCCTTTTCCCCTCCTCGATGCCTGTTTACGGCTGAGTCCGGACTTGAACTTGGTGGCCAAGACTGAGGATACTTGGACGGAGAGTGATCGTTGCATTTTGCAGGGAGTAGAGGTAGCGCCACGGCTGGGACTGGGTTGCATTTTCGCTTGTCGCATGATTAAATAGACTATGAAGATCGCTAAAAGGGAGCCTCCATCCCATTCATTGCCTCTATCCTTGGTGCGCGCCCTACCAACTGCGGGTTCCTTCCACTTCCTCCTCACCTTCCACTGCCACATTCTCCGCATTCGATACATAGAGGTAGCTATCTGGAGCAAGCAACGCGAGGCTGCCCAAGCGCCGTGGCGTTTATTTCGGAACGAATGGATGTGACAGGAATGCATTGCCAAGAATTGGAGCGACCACCACACGCACCCAGCATGACTTCCGTTGTTGCTATCATTCGGGACAGCCCAGCGTAACCACGGCAGACACTCACTATCATCGCCGAAGCAGGCTGGGAGGTGAGGCTGCGGGCTGCAGCCAACAATGCGCCACTGACACCCAACGCCCCCTCGAGCACCCCTGTCAGACTCCCGGTTGCCTAGCTGCCCTTTTCTTCCTCTATCAGATTGTAATTTCCAGCGAGAGCAACGGGAAGGGGTGGAAGAGGGGAAAGGAGAGGGGGAAGGGGAGGCATAGTCGGCAAAACGGGGTCTCCCAGTCAAGAGTTCACATTTTCACAGTATATATCGGCCCCGAAAGCTTTCGCCATGGTCACGCCTGAGCATGCCGCCGTGTCGTGACAGACGTTCAATTATCATGGCGCCAGACCCACCCCAGCCCGACACTTCAAGCAGTCGCCTGCAAAAGCTCACATCCTTCTTTTCACGGAAGTCTAAAACACCATCTAGCCAGGACTCGCAAGGCTCGCTTCATCCCAATACACAATCCCGCTCGACCAAGAGTCGGCATTCCCTTGATTCACGGCCTAAGATGGAACAACAATCTGATCGCAGCCCAAAGCGGTCATGGACCAGACTCACTCCCCGTTCAAGCAATAAAACCTTTGGCCAGGAATTCTCTCTCTTCAGCATCCCCATTGGATCACCCCCAGAACCTGCGCATAGACAAGACGCAGAGGTCAGAACCAAAGAGGCTGAGGCGGACACCACGGATGAGACCAAGCTTAGAACGGGACGTGACGCACAGATGTCACAATCCGGGGCTAACAATCAGCTGGGACCCAAGACCACACAGAAAGATCAACTGGCGACGGAGAGTGAGGGCGAGGATCTGTCTGACCTAATTTATCTCAACTTGCAGGAAGGAAATCCACTCGACGGTGGTGGCATCCGCAAGTTTTTGCCCGAGGGTCTCTTGGTTAAATACCTTACGGAGAAGTCGATCCGAAAGAAGCTGGAAGAAAACAATCCCTCTGCAAGCAATGTCGATGATTTGGTTACCTTTATTGTCCACCACGCACGGAAGATCTTCGCAACTCTTATTCGCTCGAACTTTGAGGGAGACAAGCTGTGTAAAGCCATCCGGGACTTTCGAGATCACAACATCACCGATGACTTCCTGCCAATTACCGAAACGAAAATGGAGAAAGTCCCTTTCTTCAAGAAAAAAGGACATTGGAGCCTGCAGACGGTAGCAGACTTTTGCGAGAAGCAATGGACCTTTCTGGCACCTGTACTACCACCACCGGAGAGGGACGGTGTACCTCTGCTAAAGGTAGACGCCTTGACAATTCTCCCTTTCATTGAAGCGAAACTCGTCGATCATGGCGCGTTCGGGGAGGTCTACAAAGTTATGCTGTGCCCATCAAACATGCTTACGGAACACCTGCAGGTACGAAGTCTTTGAGATCATGCAACCCCAATCGGGCATTTGACCCATGCATCAGGCTGGAAAGGTACTGACCTTTGACTATACAGAACTCATACATAGCAGTCAAGCGTTTGAAAGATCCAAATCCCGAAGATGAACAGTCGCAGCGAAATCCGGGTCAGCAATGGACAAGGGAAGTGGAAACGCACGCCGAAATCCAACGCACACATCACCCCCACATTATCGATTTCATTGCCGCAATCGAGAGGGGTACGGCTCGCTACCTTCTTTTCAGTTGGGCGGACCAAGGCAATCTCGAGTCACTATGGAAGAAACACAAAAGTCCTTTACTCTCGTCGATGCTCGTTGAAGATGTAATTCGGCAGCTCCAGGGCCTTGCGGATGCACTTGATACATTGCACTACTGTGGGGGAAATAGTGAAGACACCAATAGCTCTTGGAGACACGGCGATGTCAAACCGCAGAATATTCTCTCCCGATCTAAAAAGAAAGTCAACGAATCCACCAAACAGCCCGGATCAGAAGACCAGCTCGACATTGGTCATTTGATGATGTCTGACCTCGGATTAGCCAAGCGTCATTTTGTTGCAACAGAGGTTCGAAACGATCGTACAAGCACTCGATCAACGACGTTTAGATATTCGCCGCCCGAGATATACACGCTGGAAAAGTTTGAACCGATAGCACGGTCCAGACGCTACGATATCTGGTCAATGGGCTGTGTGATTCTGGAGTTTTCCATCTGGTTGTTGTATGGCTGGCACGCACTAGATGATTTCAACAAGAAGATCATCACCGCTGACTGGGGAGAACAATGCCCTTGGTTCACAACAACTATCGAACCTGGCAAGGGTAAAACGGCAAAGCTTCATGGTATTGTCGAACACACAATCAACTTTATTCTGAAGGAAGATCCAGAGTGCCGGGATCAAACAGCGTTACGCGAGTTGGTAGAACTCGTGCGAGACAAATTGCTAGTTGTTGAACTTGGCTCTCCGAAATCTTTGCGAAAGATTCCGAGTTCCTGTAGTGGTCTCAGTGATACTACCCCTAACCCAAGCATACAGGAACAGGTACATGTACCTACCATCCAGGTTCCCGCGTCCGAAGAGAACAAAGTGGATGGCGACAGCACCACGAAAGTACGCGCCGAATCCAAGGATGTTAATGACGCACTCCAACAGATCATCAAGAAAGGCCAACAAAACAAGAAGTATTGGTTCACTGGGAAAGACCGCACCGGTATCAGACTTGACATGATTCGTATCATGACCGCTGCAGGATCGGGCTATCTGTCCCCTAGAGCGGCCGCAAGATCCAAGGCGATCGGTCGCCCGGCTTACTCTGGCGTCGAAGGGACCCCAAGTCCTGGCGTCTTGAACTCCGGATCTCCAAGCTCGTCGACAATGACTGTGACTCTACAGGTAGGCATTCACCCCGTGGCCCTGGACGACAGGACGTGTCAATATGCTAACTTGTACAATGGGGAAGAGTGTTTGTTAGGCCTTTTCTGGACCCCCTAGTAATTTTCATGAGGACAGCAAGCTAACAGGGCCTATGGTAATGTGTTAGGAAGTACGGAATACCATCCTAGTTTAGGGTAGCGGCTATCATGCCCAGTGGCTAACAATAGTGCTGCAGTATGTATGTTTGTAACCTCCTCGCCCTTGAAATATGTGACAAGATGACGACAAAGCAGCTCCTTTGCTAAAAGTTTTTGTAGCGAGTAAGTATCTAAATACCATACACCAATCCCCGATGGATATTCCGAAAAATAAGGCTAACTTAAATATTCGTGGCCAGAATGTGAGTCCATCTATATGATCCTGGCGAGCGTTCATGCGAGTCACAGACACTGATTACCTGTTCTGGGTTGATCTAGGCCGTGAGTTTCCACTCCGCTTGGCTCCTGTGTTTGGCTACATTGCTCATCATTTTCCATCAACAGGCACAAGTAATTAATTCTCTCTTTAATACTGCTTCCTCTCCCGATCTTTTGCGAGACTACTGATGATGGTCGTCAAACTCGGTTTTCAACCAAAGGTTTATTGATCACATACAAGATACTCGCATGTTTTACTACGCCACTCTACTAGTTGGCGAGTACCGCGTACGTCGACTAAATGGCTGCTAATTGTTCCTTTCGTCAGCTCGATCGCACCGAATTCTTCATCGACAACTCCTTTGCCCACAAGACAATTTCAGCAATGGACAGCGCGGGGTTGTTCCCCGAAAGTCATGCTGAAGCAAGACTATGTGTCAAATGTCAGGAACTGGATTTCTTCGCCCCGAAATTCACCATTCAAGATACATGGCAAGATCTTGCGACCAACCAAGCAAGATGTGACTTTTGCGAACTACGATGGCGAGCATGCCTTGATAGAAAACTTGACTCGACAAGTCCCATACGCTTCGGCAGAGTGGATTCGATGCTTCACCTCAACGAACACTCTGAGCCGGCATTGTCGATTTGCCGTGCCCCAGGTAAAAACCGGCTTTACCCAAGTGACAATTGGTTCCTTAGTCTAACAGTGTCTCCAGCAGGGAAATCCACAACTGAAAATCAGCCGAACACCAGCCGTATCAAAATTGGTCTGCCTAACCTGACTGTAACAAGCAATCAGCACTTTGCGCTCATGCGCCGATGGCTTGAGGACTGCGACGACCAACATCAATGTAAACCGCACGCAAAAAGCACGGTGCCAACTCGAGTTTTGGACCTCGGCGCCGGAAGAGAGCACATTGTTCGTCTGTACAGGACCAGGCCAGGGGACTCTTTCAGATATATCGCACTTTCCCACTGTTGGGGAAAAGACCAACATTTCACCACTACCACGTCCAACATTAAAGACCACATGAACAGCATTCCGATGGACAAGCTCCCGAAAACATTCCAAGATGCCATCCGAACAACACGTGAACTGGGTATCCAGTACCTCTGGATAGATTCCATCTGTATCGTCCAAGGCGATCACGGTGATTTCGACAAGGAGGCGAAGAAGATGGAGTATGTCTTCAGTTCCGCCTACTGTGTTCTCGCGGCAAGTAGCGCACGCAGCCAGACGGAAGGCTTTCTCAACCCACGAAAGTCAAGAACTGTTGTCAACCTGGGGAGAAAGAAAAACGACATAGGAGTATACGCAACCCCCTTCTCAGACGACTTCAAGAAGCACGTTGTCAACTCCCCACTTAGTGAGCGTGGTTGGGTATTACAGGAGAGGGCATTGGCGAGGCGAACCATCTACTTCACTGAGTGGCAAACGTACTGGGAATGTGGACATGGGATACGATGTGAGACACTGACCAGCATGGATAAGTTCGTGACCCCCCCCCCCCCCCCCCCCCCCCCCCTTCCTTCCCCGGCCTGTCCGACTTTTGCATATCAAATCAAACTAACAAAAGCCGACAATCAGCAAACTCATCTCTTTCCTTGGCGACCCAAACTTCCCGTCCAAACTCTCAGATGGCACAAGCGATCGCGGCGAAAAGATCCGCTTCTATGAGGGTCTTTACACACAATACTCCCGTCTCACGCTTACTAATAGCAGTGATCGCCCCATCGCCATCGCCGGACTCGAAAGGAGGCTTATTCATGATCTCAACTGCTCTGGCGGATTCGGCGTCTTTGATGACCAACGCAGTCTGCTACAGAGAAGTCTTCTCTGGCAGCGAGGCGAAACGATTCCCACCCTAGAGAGGATCCGGCACCCTCAGGTGCTATTTAGGGTGCCCACCTGGTCCTGGATGGCGTACAAGGGAGGTATCGCCTATCTGGACCCCCCCTTTGGCAGGGTCGATTGGAGAGTTGCAGAGATCAGGGGAAACTGGTATGGGCAAGGCAGCAACAGGGCCGAGCTGAGCGCCAAGACGAGGAAGTTCCGGATGGGCGAAACGGGGACGGAAGACTTCAACATCACTTGGGATATCCCTGGCGAGATTGACATTGAAAAAGCTGTCATCAGGTGTGTCGTGGTCGGGAATCTGAAGCAGAGGGACCCGAAGCCGATGAAGAGCACTCACTACGTCTTGATCGTCAGATTGAGGGAACACGGCGCGGAATTGGCGACGGATGAGACTGATATCTACGAAAGGGTCGGCGTCGGAACGATGCTTGGAAAGTACCTCGACCTGGATAACTCGCTACAGCCAAAATGGGACAAGATCCGGTAAAGGAAAAATTGGCTGATCCTTCAAACACTCATGTTTGGACATTTCCTTTCAACTATAGATTGGCATCAATGTATCTCCTTGTCTTGTCGCTTTCAAGCTTTAAATCTCCTTTTGGCTCGTCTTCTCAGTTTGAACATGAATGGGAAAAGAATCTGTTCTTTCAACTCGTCCCCCCCCCCCCCCCCCCACCCAAAAAAAGAGAAAAAAAAAAAAAAAAAAAAAAAAAAAAAAAAAAAAAAAAAAAAAAAAAAAAAAAAAGCACTGCAATGGTCTACTATCGATTTCTGTCAATGGATTGAGCTTCATGCACTGTTTGGTTCCATCAAAGTTCCCCAAGACACTCCAAAAATTCAACGCTTTTGAGCCGACTACACTAAACGAGACGGAGATTGATATCGTGGATATAGGTATATGAGCAGGTAGAGGTAGTAAAACTTCAAGTTGGGATGACCCATGGCGTCAGAAGCAGACGCGACAAAGAAGACCACAAAACGCATCTTCCATTTAACGGGCAGGCAGGCTGCCCGTGTTCGACGTGCCGCTGTGACACATTGGACACGCGCTAAGATATAGCGGACCGTCCACTGTGCGAGGATTGATGCACCTCCTTACCTGAATATGTTTACTAGGAGCATGCTTTTCCAGACGATTGGAGAGCCTACCTATCGCTGTTTCCCACCCATGGATAGTTGTGGGAAACGAGAACTCATCCAAAATGGCTTGCATTAAACGGGGCTTTTCTCTACTCGAAGCGGCACATGGACACCCGCTCACTTGCGGGTTAGGGTTATCTGCCATCACGTGGATTCGCGAGACACTTTCGCGTCTCTCCAATTTATCAGCATCGTCATCGGCGAACCTCCCGGTGACATCCAGACCACAACCTCCAATACGCGACTCCGGACACGCTCCTTTCCACCACTTTCCACCAACTCTTTCAACCATCAACACCACCGATTGTAGTCGAAACATCACAAGAACCAAAACCGCACCAATGTCCACCCAATTGAACGCGGGAATCCCGCTCTCCCACGCGCCCGACGGCGTAGGCTACAAACTCCTCGAACTTCCCCCAGAGCTAGTTGATCTTTTGGAATCGGAAAATCCGCCCACGTAAGCTTCTCTACTTTTTCTCCTTAATTCTGAACACCTCTCTCGCGCCCACGGCGCCCTTCCGGCTTTAACCGACCAAACTATCCCCCACCCCCATTACCACCAGACCCAAAAATCAAAACCAAACACCCAAACAACAGATAGATACATCAAACTAACAAAACCAAATCCGACAACAAAAGTCTAACCCTCCACCCCTCCCCCACCGCCGCCCTCCTCAAAACCACCATCAACGGGCTTCCCAAGACTTACTCCCTTCGACAAAAGAACACTTCCAACGGGCTCATTCTTTTATCCCCATTTACTACTACTCAAACTGCACCACAACCACAATCACAGCCAGATAATGAACAGACAACAACAGAACCGGGAGACGAGATGGACATAGAACAAGAACAAGAACAACGACACCAACAAGAAGAAGAAAAAGGGATGGAAATACCTATCCCAGGCCTCCGAACATTAACTACCCTCCATGAAACGATCGAGTTAGTCCCTGAAGCGGAAGGCGCTAGTGCGCCGGCTGTGAAGGCGAGGGGGAAGTGGCATGAGAAGTTTGCACGGGGGCGTTAATACAGGTGATGTCCATGGTTTCGTGGATGTTTTTGTAACGTTTGGGAGGAGGCTGTGGTAGTGGTGCGTTTTGAGAAGAACCTGTGATACCCTGGGAGGAAGAAAAAAAAGATTTTGGATTAAAAAAAAGGGCAAGAGCGAGATGTTCTGGTTCGAGTCAAGGGCTGAAAACGGTTGGTTGTTGAAGACGCTGGTTGAATATTAGTAAGTGCCCTTCTTCAGTTGCTCAAGTTGATGGGCATGTCTGTCCGTTACCTCTCTATTATGGGGATTTCGAAATATTGTGAAGGTATGTCTGATGCCTCAATGCCAACACATTATACACTGAAGGCTAACAGAGACCATGATTGCGATGTCAGTGACTTATCTTCGTCCTTTCACCCATGTTCCTCACAAAACAAGACATATCACTGAAATATAGCATACTATATACATGGCTATTTATGTGCGCACAATGATCTTACTCTATTTGGGGTATCATGAGATCTACAATGTTACTGCCAAGTACGCTTCGCCACGCAATGTGCAATGTCTTACAGGGCGAGAAGATGAAAAAGCACAAACTAAATGGCTGGCGATGCTCCCGTCTGGAAATGCAGATCAGATACCAACAAATCCGCTTTATACTCGCTCAAAAAAAAAGAAATAAAACAATAACAATGCAACGACGCTGAATGTAACCAGCGTTTCTCTTTCGGTTTTGCCTCTTTTGAAAGAAGGAAATACCAGATGAACGCTCACGCCACGCCATTGATGCCAACGTGTGTTAGTGAATCGTCATCTTCCTCTCCACCTCTTTAACTTTTTGTTACCTTTCCACAAGCTGGGAAGAAAATTTCGCTTCAACGACTTCACAGAAACCGTAGCATATGAACGACATTGCTGACGTCTGAAAAAGATGGCATGAAACAGGAACCAACAAGTCATCAACGAAGATAACTTGGACCGACAAGATACCTTCTCTCGTCCAGCCCCATCCACCAGATCAGGCTTGCCAAGGCCGATATCTAGTTTCCCATGACTGAAACGCGGCATCATTGGCATGGTGAAGCGTTACGAAGATCGGAGCGAGCATCACATCACCCGATCAAACATCCTCTGCACGGTTGGAATCAGGCTCCATTCCAGGCGGCCTAGGTTCCGCAACCCGGTCAGAAACCGGGTCTATGAGGACCGAACCCGTATTAGGGGGAGGTGGAAGCGGAAGCCAAGGATGCCATGGACTAGATGTACCACCTCCACGAAGTCAACCCCGTTCATGACCCCAGCAGGTACTTGCTGTTCAGGAGGCCGTGCAGCTACCTGACCTTGGTGATCCGGTGTCTCTGGCGCCTATTCATCAGCAGTAAGATCGACAACAGGCACCTGCTGTCTAGAAGGAACTGCTACTACCGGGGCTCGGCCAAGGCTTCGCACGTTGACGCCCGGGTTTGGTATATTGTTGGCGGCCACAGGAGGAGGATGGGCGGCCAGCCTTGGCGCAGCGAGTTGCGCCATTTGGGGCAGACCAAATCCATCGTTCGGGGGAAGGGGGCCAAGGCCGAGGCCGAGGAGACCTGGTCCGCCGGGATTCCAGTGTGGAACATTGGCCGGGAATTGCGCGTTAAGCATGTAGTGATGGTCGTTGTGGTTGTGATGGAGGACCTGGTTTCCAACCCCCGGAAACGCCTGTGGTGCCTGACCTGGATTGGGAGCAGGATTGAGGGCAGGATTAGCATGGGGGTTGGGATGGATACCAAGGGCAGCATGGCCTGCACGTCCTGGGTTCATTCCTTGGTTGGGGTAGCCGTTGGCCACTTGACCCTGTTGTGGCTGAACCGGTCCTCGGTTCCTCTGGGCTGCCAGTTGTGCGTATCGGCGTCCCCACCTCTCCATAACCCGGTCCCGCACTGGTCCCGGCGGCAGTCCTAGTCTTACGTCTATGGCAGAAGCAAAGTCAGTCGAGCATTCGCATGCTGGATGGGAAGCAAGGTCTCGAAGAGGACAAAATACTGACACTGCTGTAGAAGATCGGCTTCGCCTCCCACGGGCTGCACATGTGCATGTGCAGCTCCTGGCATGCCTGGCTGGGCCTGATTTGGTCCACCCACTTGGGGTTGCGCTACTATACCACCCGCAAGCGCATGCCGAAGACGAGCCGGACCCTGACCGGGGTAGGCTACAGCAACACGCACACCGTTAGGATGAGCATGCTGCTGCCGTTTCGGAAAAAGCTTCTCATCAAACTTGATTTCAAGCTCCTTAGCATCAATGCTGGGGTCCGCTTCCAGTAGCTTCTTTCGTTCCCTTTCCTCAGCTTCCCGAGCCTCCTTGTCGTGAATATCATCCAACGACTGCTGTTCAAAGAGAGGGCAGTTGCCCTTTCTACCACCTCTGTTCACATCGTCAAAGTGGTTATAATCACAAGGCTGCCTACAAACGTAGCATTGCATGGCTCTGCATCTGGGACAAGTCATCTTGTTGCAACCGCTTTCTTTGATGAATCGGTTATTGCCTACGCCGGTTAGCCTGAATCAGGTGATTAGAGGAAATTCCAATGAGGACTCACATTTGTAGCACTCCCGTATCATAGCCAATGATCTGGCCTCCTCGAGTTTCCGCTTCGCGTCCTCGCCCTTGTTACGGGCTGCTTCAGCCATGGCCTCCTCGCAAGACTTGCCGATGTGAGTTTCTTGACGGCAACGTCGGCAGCTTTTGACCCCACACTCCGGTTGTTGGCACTCGAACTCCCAGTTGACCTCCACTGGGGGATACTCCGCAGCATAGTTGCAAAATGGACAAGTCTCCAGGCCCTCGATTCCAGCACGTCGAATGCTGTCATTTTGCTCGATCTGGTCCAGGGTACGCTTCAGGCGGTCATCCAGGAATAGGTCTTTTTGATCTCTGGAAAAAGTTGCTTCGCAGCCATCCATAGACATGCAACCTAGATGATACCGCTGCTGTCCAATCTGATTTTCCGCTTGCCGCCGAGCGCAGTCATAGCAGAACCAGTGAGCAGTGTCACCATCGCAGTGCACCATGCGATTGTAGGGAAGTTCGTCAAAACAACACCCGCATTCGGTGATGGCACCTTCCGCCTTTGCGTTTTCGAAGTTTTTCTTGTCTTCCCTCTCCTGAGCTTCTTTGGCGGCGTCCTTGGCTAACTTTGCTGAACATACCTCCTGCGCTGCGAGAAATTCTTGCTGAGCCTCTCTGCCGGGTAGAGTGATATCTTCTTTATCGATTGCTACCTCTTCGATGTTGTTCTTGTGTCTGGGATACAATTTCCTGCGAAAGGTGACACCATGCGGTTTCGAAAAATCCTCATGTAGGGCTGAGTACGTTTGATAGACCGAAGAGTTGTGCGTTAACATTGCTTCCTCGATGTCGCCTACATATGCTTTGGGAAAAGCTTCCCTGAGAAGTAGCCGGCTGGTCCAGGATTAGTTATGGCTTCAACTTTCGGGTGTGAATGGGTAAAATCCAGACTTGTCTCCAGAGTCTAGCGACGATTGAGAGACTCACCAGACGCGGCTATAATTGTGGTCTCTATGGTGTTGGGATACACGGCCCTCATATTTTTCGTGCAATTTTTGCAGCTTCGACTCTTTCGCGTTGTCGCCGACATCCGCATCGTCTCGTTTTCTTTTCTTGACGCGTCTTGGATATTTGGTGCCGTTGCCTTCTTCCTCCAAGATACGATTAAGGAACAGTTCTGAATCCCATCCGCATGCATGACCCTGCTGCTTGGCGTAATCTGGACAAACATCCGGTAGAAGGCTTATAACTGTGGCCAGAAACGTGTCCTGGTCACGTTGTGGCCCTTGTTCTGGCACCGGTAGTACAGCAGGGGGTGGCCAACCGTCGTCGACGAAAACCCTGCCCAGGAAATTAGTATCTTTATATCTCTCGCAACGAAACCATGTCTCTGAATGATGATGTGGAAGAGGTTGTCTCCAGCCTGTCCCGTCTGCTTTTTCCTTGGAACTTTCGCCCTGATTCGAGTGAGTGAGTATAACGGGATTTAAGAATGTGAACATGGCTAAAGGGCACCGAGGTGGTTTACGCCTACGGTGGTGATAACAACGAGGAAAAGAAAAGAAAAAGAAAGCAGAAGGGCGCTTTTGGTAATATTAGTGAGCGGGGGATGGGCGTGTTGACCACTTTGAATAGCGAGACCAGATGTGGAAGTTGTGTTGTATGAATGGTGAGGAGAGAAGATGGTCGTAGTCTTGCCCAAAGATAGTAGACCAGGCGAAAATGATCCAGATACCGACTAAGAACAGGACAACGAGGTGCTTCGTTGGAACCCAATTCTGCATGTAATGGAACGTGAAGCCTGAGAGAGAATCTCCCAATGTGCGCGAAGTGAAGTGTATCTGGTTGAGAAGTCCACCCAACCCGCAAAGAGAATGAAACATCGGGGATGCGGCTCAAAACTTGGTCAGATGCATGGTAGTCGGGAGCGACGTCAGGTCGATCTGGTGGTTCGACATGGCCAAGATCTGAGAGTGGGTAAACCACCGGTACATGATCAAGGCATGAAGAGAGAATGAACACGAACGAGAAAAAGAACAAGGCGTGATGGGGAAAGATCATGGTGGTCCGTGAACACAAATTGGAGTAACTCACGGGTTAGAGGCACTCATGGCTCAGGCTTTGCTTCGCCAGGTAGTTCGATACGTGCTGACGACGAAAAGACGCAAGTTGGCGAAGCTGCAGGAATAGCGAGGCGGAACATGTGCCGGGCAGCTTGCGTGGAGCAGGTTCTATTTTCTCCCCCGAACTCGAGGAACTGAATATGTATTCCAGCCTGTGGCTTGCGAGTGAATCCCGTCGGTGTCGCCTCGGATCGTCCGAGGTGTTCGTGAATGTTGTGATTAGGCGGGTGAGTCGAAGGTTGCAGGTTAGTCTCGTACGATCCGCCCGGTTCGGTGTTTGAGGTTTTGGAAAGCATAAGTTGAACACTTGTATACAGGTTGACGAAGTCCTATCACAGCCCCATGGTCCGATGATGGGCAGGAAAGCAGGATGCAAGCGACTGTTTGGAGATATAATGAAGCGAAGGTTCAGATGGAATGCTCTTGGTTAGCGGGCGCACCAGAGAGGCGACATGGCACTTCGGATTTTTTTGAAAAGCCTGGAAGCGTCGGACGGTGTCGCTCATGAGTTGGGAATTAAACGAGGCCCAAATCAACCATGCGGCGGCAATTGCGTTGGACGCGAGCTGTGTCGCAAATGATGGATGATGAATCTAGCCAGTCGTGGAGAGGAGTAGATGCGCCAGCGGCAGGCGGCCAACAAACCCATACATCGGGTTGAGTGAGGCCTTCCCCAGTCTCCGCCTGCCGAACGTGCTGAGCGTGGACCTTGATGACAGGATCGGACAGTGTGAGCAAGCGACACGTTGCCAGGCCACCGTCACCCGTTCATGCGGCTGCCGAGGCAAACGAGTGACCAACGAGTTAACCTCCCCCGTCCCGTCGGGAAGCGACAAGATTATGAAGCTGAAGTGCCCGACGGTGCTAGCCAAGAAAAGGCAACCTGAATTGACCGAAATCCATACAACGCTGCCGGGTCAAACAAAAAGTAATTGAAGAATGCAACGAAGTGCCTAAAAAAACACAGGCGAAGCTGGAACCTGTGAGGACATGGACTCGGCAACTGAACAGGGCAGGCACATTTTACTTTGAATTGCATTGGTTCCTTCCTTCACTTTGAATGCTCCATCCTGCAGGTGGTTAAACCAACAAAAAAAAAATCGTGAATACGTACCACCCAACTCGTCGTTTCTCCATGCTTGACGCCTCTTATCCCTCAGCTTGAAGAATCAGACCTCCTGTTCTTTCTTAAGTATTTTAGGTAGGGTCCATGTGTGTCAATACCCAGGAAGGAATACCTGGGTCACCTGGCTGCCTGGCCTAGTTTGTGCAGTTGTTGGACGCCAGCGAAACGGGGTCGGCTAGAATCGTCCTCCCACCCCCAATACTCCATTGACTTCGGTCGGAGTCGATCAACCTGGGTTGAGTGTGAGTTAAACTGGCTGTAGCTTCCGGGTAAAAGCTTGCGTAATTGTGATGAAAGCTTAATGACCAAAGACAATTGTTATTATGGTGTAAGATCGATACTTGTATATGTCCTTAGCTTGTAGAACAACACAGTCACAGTTCAAGAGGCCGTACAAAGTGCCGAGATAAAACACCCCAAGCCGGTTAGACTTGAATTTGTGGTGGGGCACCACCCAAATCCACACGTAATGTACAATCCAATACTGGTTTGATTGTTAGCTCGAGACCTTGGGTCAACTTCCCTCTGCGTAATCATGCTGCGGGTATGCTTTTTTCTGAAATCTCAGACACCACATTGTTCCTTGTTAATGCTTTTCGAAATTATACGTAAGTCATTAATTGCGTCCCCAACAATTCGAAAGACTTGTCGTGCAGTGTACCAGGCGCGAGAACCCAGGTACCAAGTTAATATTCAAACCAGCAACTAGATTGCCATATCTTCTGGTCTGGTTCGCTATTGAGAGCCAGGCCGCCCAACCCACCTCTTCATAACACTGCATGCGAACAAAGACCGAGGTCACCATAGTTAAATCATCTGAACCACATTAAATCACTAACCAGTATCATTTCAACTGTGGTCAAAGTCTGACACTACTTGCCTAGGATTAATATGGCAATGTTTTAACAGCTTCGTCACAAGTGGGTATCTACATTAAGGGCAGCTCAGCCACTACCTCTGAACGCTGCCATATCGGTACCTACCTAGGTAGCACGATATGACCTTCCCGCTCAGAAATCCTCTTCATCATCCTCCAAATCTGACAATTCAGAATCTTCATCATCGCCTTCGTCATCGTCCTCACTCGGAGTGACATTGCGCCTGGTTCTCCTTCGCGAACCTGGAATACTCGCCTTCGCCTTGGCAGCAGCCGCCTTGCGCTTGGGTTTCGTACTCATCACCACGGACTCTTTCTTCTTTGGCGGTTGATCCCGGTTGCCCTCTCCCTCGCCGTGATCCACCTCAAGTGTATCCTCCCCATCTTGATCATCCTCATCTACCACCGGGAAGAAAGAGGACCTCAGATGGCTATCCCTTTCTTCATCCTCCACCTCAAAGCCTTCGGGCAAAAACCCACCGCCGCCCATTTCCTCGTCTTCACCTATTTCCGCTTCGGCTTCAGATAACTCCCGAATCTCCGCCCCTCCGCTTCCATGCCTACCAAAGACCTCCACCTCCTCACCCACATGCCCATAATCCTGTTTAATTCTCTCGACAATCCGCATCCCCATCAAAAGCTTCCTCCACATTCCCAACGCCGCCTTCCGTCGCTTCTCATCCTCCTTTCTCTTCTTCTCCGCCTCATCCTTGGCTACCTCCTCCATCACTTGATCATGATGCTCCTCGGCAATAACAACCCCCTGAATCACCGGCACCGCCATCCTGTGCCCAAACTCAAAGTCCACCACCGCCTCCGCGTAGTCGATGCCCAACCGCTTGCACACCCGCATCGCGCCGCGGTATGGGACGTGCACCGCTCCCTGAGGGCACATGTGCTCAGCAAATAAATCAATGTTGCCGTACTCGTTCTTGGGGATGACGCCGTTTTCGATGGGCGGCGGGATGATCCAATCCGTCTGGTCGAAGCTGTATAATCCTTGCAGCACTTTCTGGCCTGTAAGCCGCTCGGCTTCCGCAATCTCTCGTCGACGGTTGTTCGTTGCTGCTCGGTAAGGGACGCGCTTGAGCGGTTGCTCGCCGGGCAGGGGAGCTCGCCCTTGCTTGTGCCAAGTTTCGGCGCTCTTGACGTGGACTACGTCCTTGCGGGAGTAGACGGGCTCGTCTTGGGTGGCGGCCGTTGTGGTCGCCGCTTTTTTGCTGCTGCCGATGCTGCTGCCGCCTTTGTTCCTGAACATCTTGACTGGTCGCGCGTTGGGCAGGAGTGCTTCCTCGCGCTTGAGGTGTCGCTCGAGGACAAACTCTTTGGATTGCTTGTAGTACTGTAGAGTCTCTTGGCCCTCTTTGACTTCCTTCTTCTCGGGCTTGGCTGGTTTCAGGTCCGTCGCGTTTTCATCTAGATCGACGTCGGTCATGGCGGGCTTGCTCCTGCCGCCTCGAGCGTAGCCTTTCATCACGGTCTGGAACCAGTCGTGCATTTCGTACCTTGCTACCTTGCCGTGCTTGTTGTAAACGGGAACTTTCTCCATGGGAATCCTCATGCCTTTTGTGCGCCCAGGCAAGGTTTGTCGCTTGAGGTAGCGCACTGTGACATCCTTTGCTGTGCCGTCTGGCGAGTAACCCACGACGTAAGACATGACCTGCTTGGCCTTGTCCGCTTTGCTACCACGTGGCTCCAGAGACTCGATCAACTCCCTATTCGTTCCAATGATGGATTTCACGATGGGGTCAACTGGTAGGTACTTTTTGGTGACTGGAGAGAGAACCTCGGTCCAGTAATGGGGGAACTCCAGGTCCTTGTCGTAGACTTTATTCTTCATTCGCGGTGCTGGTTCGGGCTCGTGATCACTAATGACTAGATCGTCATCACTGTCTGCTGCTATGAGCTCTGAGTTAGACCTTTGGATCTTCGTTACCTTACGGCTTGCACTTCGTCTTGTAGATCTCCCCGATGCCTGAGTTGTAACGGTCTCTTCAGCCATACTAGTGGCTCCGATCTTCTTTTTTGGGGTCGGTTTGAGATCTTCTTCCTTCTCCGGATCTGCCTCTTCCACTTTAGTCCAGCCGAACCCCAAGGGCTGTAGACTAGCTACCAACCTAGCCTCCAACCCCAGTCCCCTCAACAATGCTGTAAAAAGTTGAGCGCCAACATCACGACTCCCAGCGCATTCCGAAGCACACTCGCGAAAGTCTTCCAAACAGGCAATTCGCTCTCCAAATCGTTCCGGTTGATGTTCCTCCTGACTGAACGCTTTCGTCAGGCGATCCAGCCTTTCCAACGTCATGTACCCCCATTTTCGTAGCCCCGGTGCCGTGATCTGAAACCGCTGCTTCCACCAGGCGCTGAGGACTTTCATCAACCGAAACAGTGGATCGCCATGGCTCATATCCACCGCGCCCTTTTCAAGATGTTTCGCTGCTTGACCCCAGTCGCGCGACCTGTCCGCTTTGGCAGCATCTTTCCCTTTCGCCTGCGCCTTTCCTTTCACTTGCGCCCTCGTCTTCTTCTGGGCGGGCGACTTCTTCTTAGTCGAAGCCTCAGTACCACCTCCATCAGGTACCACCACCTCCAACCCACTACTACGCCTCCATCGATCCACCTCATCCCAAAGTTTCGAAGGAAGATGCGACAGAAGAATTCCTTGCAACTCTGGGTCGCACAGCCAAGTATTACGAACAGCGTTGTGCCAGAGAAGCAACTGCACGTGCACACAATGAGTCGAGACTCGTATCCTCCGCTCTAGCTTGGACGGTCCTTTCTTCCCTAGTGCGTTGGCTAGGGATATGCGCGTGTCGCGGATCAAAGTCAGTTCGAGGTCGCCAGCGGGTACTTCGGGAACGTTTGCTGTGGTTGATTGGGGCTGGTAGGGTTCGACGTCTTCGAATTCAAGATCTTCGTCGTCATCCTCATCTTCGTCCTCGCCTACTTGAACATTGTGTTTTTGTTTCTTGAGGACTGGAACGTCTTCAAAGTCGCCATCGGACAAGGATGAGAGAGCGCTGGAGTCGTCATCGGAGCTCTCGTCAAGCGCCAATGCTGCGAGACTGGTCTTGGAAGATGAAGCGGGACTGGCGGTTGCGTCGAGCGCGTCGAAGAGAGTCGGCTTCCGAGGTGGAGCAGTCAATTTGGCGGCGCTGAGGTTCTCTTTTCCTTTTCTTCGCTTTGCATCGTTCTTCAGGTCGTTGGCTGGAGGGGGAGGTTCATCGCGGACTCGCTTGCGGGGTACATAGGGAGGCATGATGGGCGAGGAGCTGCGTCTCTTGACGACAGATCATATCGAGAGTCACTGGAGTTCGTTTGGGCTGTATTAGAAAGTATTAAACCGCATCCAACGCCTCTATGTCGTCATCACAAGACGCGTTCGGCCTTGCGGATGGCAAACAAAGCTCAAGTACCCTAACCCTGAATTTTGTGTGGATGTGAATTAGGTTCTTGCTTGTTATCGGTCGTTGCTGAGTTGCTTTTGAATACTTCGTATAGTCAAAATTATGATACAGCTTCAACGATGGGGTTCTCGCTATAGAGAGACTATGTTCACCAAAGAAGACGCAAGGCAGGATGATTAAGTCTAGATGGAAGACGGTAAGGAAGTGAAGATGGATTGTTTTGTTTCAGGGCAGGGGAACGACTGACATCACCACCTACATATGACGGGATAGAGGTGCCCGACTTTACCCCACGAATTGCAGGCAGTGGACTCGCAGTGGACTTGGAGCGCTACCAGTGCCTCTGGTCAACAACCGGCAGGCAATCTGGGTTGTTTTTGCCCCTGTTGATTACCAGATCTCTCCACAACATCGGTGCATTCGAGACCCTTCCAGATCCACCGTGCGGCGGCTGAAGGCAGCGGCGGCTGACAGGGCCGCGAGGGCCGCTACGGCGCTGAAAGGCAGGCGATGCATGTGCAATGGACCCCCGAAGGCAACAACAACGTCACGACAGCCACTGTTTACCTGTAAAGGGTACCTCTACCTTCTTGCCCTCGGCATCGTTTTTGGTGTACTTGCTTTGATCTGGTTTGTCATCCATCATCCACGAGCACGTCGCGTGACAGCCAAAGTCTATCACCAGCTTGCGAATCTTCAGACGACAACGACCCCTTTGCCACGCCTAAGCTATCTTTAGCTATTGTGTCACAAGCGAAGGCAGCATCGTCCTTACGACTTGGCAGGGGTGACCATCTACAACCTCGAGGCCTTCACAATCCAGGGGCACTTCATTATTACCAATCCTCCATCGAAAGCCCGTATATAAAACTGCGCGAAGCTCGGCTTCGCCAACCCTCCTTCTCACCATGTCCAACAACGACTCTTCCGATACCAGCTACGTCAAAATGTCTACCGCCGACGTTGCCTCCCCCTCCTCTGGCACCAGCGCCGGCACCGACGCCAGTCTAGTCGGCAAACACTGTCAGCTCGAATATTGCAATCAGCTCGACTTTCTCCCTTTCCTCTGCCAATCCTGTCACAAGACCTTCTGCCTCGACCATCGGTCCGAGTCATCGCACAACTGTGCCTGCGCGGGCGCTTGGGCCGAGCGTCGCCGGCTTGCCCAGCTTGCCCGGCCCTCCGCTGGCGAAGGGAAACGCATGCGCGAGCTCGTTTCGCAAAAACCCTGCGCCGACGACGCCTGCAAGACCATCATTGGCACTTCCCTAGTCCCGGGCGTGCACTGCCCCTCTTGCAACCGGGACTACTGCCTTAAGCACCGGCTGGCTGAAGACCACGACTGTAAATCCAAGGTTCCAATCGGGGCGCGAGCAGCGTCCGCTGCGACGGCTGCGGCGATGCAAGCTAGCGCCAAAAGTGCGCTCGAACGGTTCAAGCTGTGGGGGAAAACGAAGCGCGAGGAGGCGGCAAGATCGCTACCGAAACCGAAACCGAGCACGGCTGCGCAAAGGGTGATTGCGGTCAACACGCTGAAGAAGACGGCCAAGGGCGATGACAAGATCCCCCCGAGAAGAGGATATATCTGTATGTGGAGGCGGAAAGCGAAACGGCCAAGGCGAAGATCCCCAAGGGCGAGTTCTTTTACAACAAGGAGTGGGTGGTGGGGAGGGTGTTGGATGCGGCGGCTAGGAGTCTGCAGGTGCAGAATATCAATAATCAGTCGAGCAAGGAGGAGGATCGGCTAAGGGTGTTTCATGTGGAGGGCGGGAGGATGTTGGAGTTCAATGAGAAGATCGAGAAGGTGTTGGTGAATGGGAATACGATTGTGCTGTTGAGGGGGGTGGGGCCGCCACCGGATTTGATTGAGATGTGAGGGAGGGTGGCTGGTAATTGGAGGATGTGGGATAGTGGGAGTTGGTTCGCATTTTCACTCTATATATTCTGAGAGCATTGCGATGGGCTTTCAGGGGTTTTGATATTTCTCAAGGACACTTCCTGATACCAAGTGCTGGGACTGGGATGTTGTTGGGGCATTTCCAAGATGACTTCGCATGTAATGAAATCTTTTGCAACTTGTCAATCTATCAGTAATTTATTCAATAGTGAGCATATAAATTCAATAGCGAGCATATAAATGTAGAGTACCTATAATACACTTCAAGTGCGCATGGGAACAATCCCTTCATACATATTTGGCCAGCCCATGTCCTCTCCATCATCTCTCTATTTCGCTCACTCGTTCTTCTCCTTGTGAGGAGTAGGCTTCTCACTCAGCGTCTTTTCTCTTCCGATAAGTGGCGCATGCCCAACAGCCTCCTTGCCGCCAAATGTCTCGAAGGCCTTATGGAACACCCATTCGACCGCATTCTCAACTGGCTTGTCGAACAAAGTAGGCAGGAAGGGAACGACCGACAGACCGAGACCAATGGGACCCCAGGTCCGGATCGTCTGGTTCTTGACGTTCTTCATCGCGCGCCCGCTGTACCGCACCACACTGTGAATCGTAAACGCAGGCAGTCCCATACTGGCCACGCTCTGGAAGATGAGGCGCTGCAGCATCACGGTTCGGTAGTCCTCCAGCGGCGTGATTTTGCCGGGCGTCGGTTTGTCGTCTTCCATCTTCTTGGTGCCGTTTTCATCGATCAAGCCGAGAATGCGCTTCTGGCGCGATGTTAGCTCGACATTGGGGTCCAGCACCCGCCGGTTGTGCCAGTATGCCTTGTATCCTTCGTAGCTGACGTCGCCCAGGATGTACGCCCACGAGACGCCGTAGGCACCACGAACGAGCCACGGGTGCGCGACGGGGCGGAAGGACTCCCCAATGTCGGAGGTGTAGGCGACGTAGCGGTGGGCGGAGAGGAGAATGGTGCGGAAGCGGGAGGCGTAGGCGGCGTAACGGACGTTGGACTCGGTCGAGGGAGGCATGCTGTCGTAGAGTACATGACCAATGTTAGCTCCGTGAGACTGTTGGGCCTAAACTCCTTTCTTTTTTTCTTTCGTGTGTTGGTTTTCCGGTGCAAAACACGTACTAGCCCTCGTAGAGATCATCATAGAATTCTTCCTTGTCAGTCTTGTCGACTAACTTCTGTAGACCGTCCGGGAGCTTTCTTCGCGCAGGCAGCTTCTGGGGGTTGAGCTCGTCATGAACGGCATTCTTGACATCGACAACCTTCTTCTCCACCTTGTCTTGTATAGGGCTGGTTTCTGAAGGAGACTGCTTGGGCTGCGCCGGCTTGTCCGGGTTATTGCTGTTGCCAAAGGGCCACATTGTGGTTTATTGTTGCTTCTATCGCGGATTGTAGAATTTGCTCGGATGCGACGGATTGCGCGATGCTGGCGCGGTGATGTATCTTTATGATGAAAATAAAAACAATAAGGTCGTCGTTGTCTTTGATGTCGCGTCAAAGGTAGCTACAAGTAGAAATGAAAACCACCAGGAGATCCGGAGTACACTAGGATGTGGTGATGGCAAGAAGCAGAATGCGCTGGCAAGCTAACATCAATGAGCTTCAGATGAGCTTCCTCCACTTCCGGACCATAAGCCGGGCGCAATTCGAGCAGTGACGTAGCGACGGTCGATAAGTAGTGGATAACCGAGCGATAACACTACCTACTACCTACCTAGTACACTACTTAGCGTGCATGGCGGGGCGACGGGGATGGGGCTGGCGGGCATGTGGGTGGTCCGTGTGTCCTTCCGCGACTGTTGACGTTCTGGACGTGCAGGGCGGCTCGAGGACGGCTACGGGGCAGCGGCTTGGCAGCGGGAGGTCGGGCTTGGCTGGCGGCTGCTGCAACCTCAGGCAGCCAAATTTTCGGCAGGTTGCGCGATGGAGCTTCTCTGGCACCTTTGCGTCGTTTTCCAAACCGTCGAATCCTCCACGCCGGTCCCATCACCACCAAGCTCCGAAAACACCCCGCCAGGACTTCCAACCGCCTCCGTCACAATGGGTCAATACTACAACCTTTTCGGCCAGAAGGTCGCCTCCCAATACGTCAGTGCCCCTCCCAAACAATAGCATAGATAAGAGCCTCCACTAACAATAGCTTCCTACAGCTTGCCATGGGTGTTCTCGGCTCCCTCTTCGGCGGTGTCTACCTCGCTTCCGGCGGCAGCAGCAAGACCCCTGCTACTCCCCCCATCAACGCTTCCAGCTCTGATGAGGCCGACTTCATCAAGTACGAAGCCTTCGACTCTCCTTCATTCTTCGTCCCTCCGGCCGCATCAGCACCCACGTCTTCGTTATTGTCATCACGCATCACCACAAGTGCCCACGATCGCTAACCCCCCGATAGGAAGTTCCTCGAGACCTCCGAGACCACCGAGAAGCAGGCTCCCGCTGCTGCCCCCGCCAAGCACTAAAGTGCCCGAAAACGACAGTTATGATGATCGAAACGGACACGAGGCGTTGCGGACTGGACTTGTCCTGTGTACATATATAGCGACTGGTTAATGGAAAGTTTTCGCCTGGGAGAATCGCGTCAAGGAACCGACATCGTTACATATCGTTAACCTTTACGGATACCACCAGCAACATCCGAATCCCAATCCTTCTGGGCGAAGTTTGAGAGAAAGATGGACCCGAAGCTAGAGCTGGTATCTAAGACGCATTCGGCAGTTCATCTGAAGCGCCGTACAGACCATACTCGATCTTACCAGGATTTCCCTGCCAATTCGCCATTGCCTACCAAACAATGTTTCACTATATGGCTTCGGAGGCAGCATATCTGGGTGGTGGCCACGACGATATTGTCAAACCGTCGCGACAGCACCTTTTCAGGAATTGCCCAATCAAGCGGTTGGCACGGAATCACAAAGACGAAGTCCTGTGACCTGAGATATCACAATCACTGGGCTATCTTTCGTCCTTCTTCCATTCACCAAAATACTGAGTTTCTTATGGTACCTTTGCTTGGAAACTCCTTGCCTTCTTGGACGCCAACATTGCATAGTTCGCGGTTGTCAGGCTTTCCTACGAGGGAGTTACATGGTTTGGTGGTTTTCGTCATACCCCAACAGGCTCTGTTCAATGAAGCGTTGGGACAAAGATGGAACCCGTCTTACTCGAAATTGCGTGTCCCGGACAGTTTTCTGCCATGGAGAGTCTGTCCATTCGGCCCAATGTTGTAACTCTCGTCATTGAGTCATCTCATGGGAAGACCTATGCTATCGGATAGTTCCGATCAGCTAATGAACTTGGGCAGCATCAATAAATACATCGATTCCTACCCATTTCCGCTGTCACGCTTAAATTTGACCATCACATCACTGTCTCATCCAGCTCATTCTCATTGACAACTCCATTACACCCCCTTGTCATCCTGCCCGATGTTTCCCACTCAATATCATTGTTGGTTACTTCAACCCTAACCCTGGAGATGTAAACAAATTCCCTGAACGACGAGCCCCATCGATCACCACATGTGGACACTAATATCCTCCCCGTGCTCCGTCTTCTTCCTGTGTTACATCGCTATAAAAAAAAGATAGATAGAACCTTCACCTTTGCTTTTACCTTTTACCTTACTCACTCAATCCCTTTCTGCCAACACGCAAACTGCACAGCAATGGGCATCATGGTCTTGAAGCTGACGAGCATTGGACAACCCTTTCCTTTTCATTTCTTCACAGTGTTCATCAATGGACGTATATTAAGGATTGAAACAGCCCCAGGGAACTGTATTCTGCCAGCTAGTTCTACGAACTCTGCATCAACAACGACAGAAGTAGTGGGACCTATCAGGCCTAGATACGTCAAGTTGCGCTTTCCTAGCAACCTCGCGCCCCCGATCTCTATACAATCCCAGCATCCCAACCGATCTGACACGACCTAAGTAAACCTGAGCCGCCCAGCCGCTTGGTGATGACAGGCATCTTCAGATTCTCTGGTTACAGCACCAGAGAACAAAGGAGACGAGTTTTGTTCCTTCTTTCTTCAATATCCACCCCTTTTGATAATGTGCACAGCAATCGCCGCAGCATCCGGTGTGATCTCCTTACCTTCTACCGTGTTGTCCGCTCGGGAGCAGGCGTCCATGATTTTACCGCCGGCGCGGGCGACGTTGTTGCTGTTTTGTTGTAAGACATGTGTCTGTCAGCGTGCTTCCTTCTTCTTTTTTATTCCTCTTCCTTGTTGTCCACATTTTGCAGGTTGGGTAGGTAGGAAGGTAGATAGGTGGGTAACTTACCAGATCGTCGAAGCACCATTGGTATCCGGCCTGACGCCAATCATCTCAGCATTGCCACGCACGACGAACGAGACGTGATCCGTGCCCCTGTAGACCTCGCATGTCTGTGTGTTAAGGCGGGCGAGGTAGTTGATGCATTCGACTGCGTCGGGGATCTATTGCTCAAAAAAAAAAAAAAAAGAAAAAAAAAGACATCATATTCGGTTAGACATTGAACGTGTTTTGTGTATGTGGTGAGGAAAAAACTTACCGGTGCTTGTTTGCCAACGACTGTGTTGCACATGGCCCGCTTGTGCATCTTGGACGCTGTTCCGGGGAGAACTGTTGGGTTGAGGTTAGCTCGGTGCTCCGGGGGTTTTTTTTTTTTTTTTTCACTGCCCGCATTCTCTTCTCAAAATGCCTTTGGAGGCGGAGAGACTCAGTACTCACCACTGTCGGTGGAGGTGCTGTTGACATAGGCATAATAAGCGTCGAGAGCCTGCTGAGGAGTGGCTGCCTCTTCGGGTTTGGCGATGATATCGTCTACCCATTTGGCGAAGGAGAAGGGCCCAGGTGCAGAGGCTACATCGCGGGTGGTGGGAACGGCGCCGGCAAGGGGAGTGAGAGCCATCGCGGCGAAGGACAGAGTGAGGAGGTTGACCATCTTGTTGATGAGTGTTATGGGAGGGTGTAAGGGAAATCGAGAGGACTGGCGAGTGTTGGAAGGTGTTGTTCCGATGTTGTGATGTGACAAAAGTAAGAGGATTGTTCACCTCTTTATAGAGACTCCCGCCTCCTCGCTTGGAACAGGCTGCCGTCTACCTCAACCAGCTAATAATGAAACCATAAGACGTGAAGACATCATGAATACGGGAAGGCAAGCCCTTTGCCTGACCTCGCAGTTGCATCAGACTTGATTAGCTTCTCTATGACCTCTTCCTTCACGTGTTCACCGACTTTCGATGTAGCAATTGACCCTCCAGTGCCTCACCATTGTGGCCGCTCTCATGGTTGATTTCTCCTCTCAGATGAAGGATCTGCCATCTCCAAAGAGTAAGCTCAAGGTGTTCAAGGGTATGCGAGTGGTGTTTCCCATGAATTTAAGTCGGAGCGCTAATGTAAGGGTCTTGATGGGTCGAGGCACAGGAGCGGGTACAGTCTCCAACGGCTACGCATTGCGGCTCCAACCGACCATTTTCCACGGCACCATATCGGAGTTAAGAAAGGGAGAGAAGCGAAGGCTTCCAATGGGATTCGGCCAGGCCGGGCTATGCCGTTTCTCTTAGTGTTGATGACCTAACAGGGTGGAGAGCATTTGAATTTCACGTTGTGTTGATGGTTAGCTGACAGTCGTTGGATCTGACAGGACCGACTTGACAGCGCACCAAGGTAGGTTGTAGTCGACCCAGTGGTTCTAACTGTGGTCATGGTAGCATGGAAGCTCCATCGAATCATTTGGGGTGTCATTGTGGGTGGAGAGACAGCACTGAAGGAATTGGTGATGCAACTGGACAAGACGCCGATCCCTGGTCTGTCCTGGAACGTCTTCTTGTGATAAACCTTCTGTGGATCTTCAAAGGACTTTCTTTGCTGCCATAATATCGGACACTCTCGATTTGTGTTGCGACTGTGATAGTGTCACAAACTCACAGTTTTCCATAATCCAAGCTGGTGTGAATCTTCTATTCATGGGCAAAGCGAAGTTGCGTCTTTACCTGGGTAGGTCGAGGAGACATGTCTGATGTATTGAACACTGCCGGGACACTGAAAGGGAACATAAACCAAAAAACATTATAGCAATCGGGAATCTAAAGGGCCAATTTTGTAGTGAAATGACTCATGTTGACCCCAGGTAGCTCGCAAGGACAATGAATGGCATGCGATCTTTGAGCAACATGGGGACATGACAAAAACACACATCAACATCATAACGTCTTCGTGCTTGCAATCGAACAAGACAAATCAAGTCTTTTGTTATGGATCAAGGTAGGTAATGATCAACGCTGAATGACAACAATCACAAAGTGACCACTCCTTTCCTGGAACTCCATGCTGAATCATCCCCCCGGGTATCGCGAAACATAAAAACTCCTTGCGCCCTAGAGAACCCAGCAATTCCACAAGAAAAAGCCCAGTGGTAATCCCCAGTGACCTCAATCACTTGCGAGACAGAATCTCCGCGTCCTCCGCCGCGCACTTTGCCTTATGGGCCTCCTCGAACTCATCGAGCTTCTTGTTGATGGAGACCCGAGTTTCCTCAATAACGGGCATGGCATGCTCCTGCACCAAGATGTCAAGCAGGCCCTCGATCCGGTCCAGGCGTTGCTCGTGTCTGCGGCGAACGCTGTTGTGCCAACCCTCCTGGTTGCGCTGTGCCTCCACAAGAACATTGTTCTCGTAGTTAACATGCTCGACGTTCTGGGCGATAGTGTCGGTATCTTGCTTGGCAGCTCCGGCGTCTTCCTGGAGCTTCAAGATCGCAGCTGCAGTGGCGACCTTGGCTGCCTCGACGTCTTGGATGCGCAGCTGCGTCAAGCCCAGCTCAACGGGGTCAGCGCTGTGAGCCAAATCGCGGACGAGTTGTCTCATATCAGTGTCAACATTGGCGGCAGCGTGCAAGATGACGTCCGTGGCAGCAGTGCTCGAGGAGCGGGTGTCGGCCTGTGTGACATATTTGCAGTGGTTAGTATATGATAGAGATAAGGTAGATAGGTAGATGATGTTTGGTCAATCACAAGGGGGTATTTGGTATGGAAGGTGAAAAGTGAGTGGAAGTTGAGGGAGCAAGGGAAAGAGGCTGGGTGAGATGTCAATGTCGAATGTGTGAGGAAACTTACCGCGACCATGTCTTGGGTTGCGGACCTGTTGCGAATGGCAAGGCTGGGGTAGTGCCTTGAGAGGACTGGTGCACCCGTCAGCAAGTGAACCCACTATGGTAAGTCTCATCACTCGTCATGCGTGAATCTCATATCATTGCGCCATCCTCGACCGTCAACGGGATAAATCTCTTCGAGCTGCGGCTGTCACCACCAGCGCTCGAAGAAGGAACCCACCAGGAGTCGACAACATTGACTGACCCTGATGTCCCCCGGGTTTTTGAGGTAGCTCTCCTTTTAACGGGACCCAAAGAGCCCCAACTACAACGATAGCATCATGGAGGGAGTACCAAGGTGGACCTCGGCTTCCATGGCCGCGGCCTGGCTCTCAACAGTGACAAGGCGCTCAACATGGTTCATCCAGGCGAATGGTTATCCCGGAAAAACAGGAGCAGCTCTTGTGCATAGGACAGCGCAGACATTTTTACTTAGAGAATTCCAGCTCTTGCAGGAATCTGAAACCATTGCTGACAAGTGATGCCGGATGCGAAAGACTTACCGAAGATGTGTTGGACATCTTGACGTCCGTGTCTTGATGGGACTCGACCATCGTTGTTGCCAGGACTGATGTATGCTTGAAGGTGTCTGGCGAGTCGAGAAGACCGAGTGGCTGTGAAGGTGAAATGGAAGAAGGAGAAGGAGCAAAATCAGAGGAGGAGAGGAGTGGGGGAGGGGGTTCTTATAGGGACGAGGAGGGCAGTTTGCTGGTCCGTGCAGGAGTGCAAATTCTGGCTGCAGTTCCACTGGGAATTTCCAGTTGCTATTGTGAATTTCTGTGAATGGAGATTCAAGTTGGGATGAAAGTGTAGGTAGGCATTGTTTGCGCGTCACCTGCAGTTGCGGTCTCACGGACGGGCGGGACGACGACGGGAGTCTTGATGGGCTGTGGTGAAGGTCGGGCCAGCCGGCGGACCCACTCCAACCCGCAACTTCAGCTGTAAAAGGTCTCGTCTGAACTTCAACTGTAGAAAGAAAGATAAGGAATCTTATGGAGAAGGTTCTCGCGTCCTCTGAGTGGTGGACGGGCTGGCTTGAAAAGCAATCTCCCAGGTGGCAGCCTGGCCTTCACCACCCCCCCGAACCGGAGAGGAGCAAACGGATCAACTCGGCAAGAGGGTGGCAGGTGACAAGCCAAAAGGATCAGACGAGCGGGAGATAGTTACAGGAGGCGGTGACGTCGAATCTTGACAAGTCGTCTTTGGGAAATCATGAAGCAGCCGCGAAGTATACTTGATGACTGGAGTCCGCAAACCACGGCCCGTAACCAATCTCACAACGACCTGACCAACGCTGGCAGCAATAAATGAAAGGAAGACCAGGAGATGGAAATCAAACTGTAAACATCGATGTTGAGCTTTCTATCAAGGATGGCTGTCAGTTGTCGAGTGACATATCACTGAGTGACTACTTCAATACGGTAGGTACCTGACTACTTGCCATGATTTTGCCTGCCGGTTCTCGGGTCTCACCTTGGCTGTGTAGGGCGGTGAATGGTGTTTGTTCATGAATTCATCCCATCTTTCTGAGTCAACCTGTGGATATGTTGGTGGGCTACGGAGAGTAGGTGAAGGGGACCTGCGTTGTGGGCGCGTTGCCTTCACTCGGTTGCTCGTGTCGTTCTCCTTTTTTGGCAGGCACGCTGAGTATTTGGTCCGTGCAGGAAAGGTCTAGGCAGCTGCGCAGACACCTTGAAGTCGGGGACCATTCTAGTGAAGGCAGGGCAGGGCAGGTCTAGTTTCTTGTGCTTGGACTTCCGTTTTCCACCTCACGCCAAATCTTACTTTCATTCCGGTGTCACGCGAAGACACTCCAACCCCAGTCTTCTGGCCGACTTGCTCTCCCTCTCCACACTTACTTCCTCCCTTGTCTTGGACGCCTTTACCTGAAGCAAGATGGGGCGCGGTAGCAAATCGAGTGCTGATGGCGTCAAGAAGCGTTGTTTTTGTCGAGGACGCAAAAGACCCAAAACTGTAGATCGGGCCCCAAGCAAGCTCTCGACGGGTGCGGACTCTTCTGCCCCTTCACTGGCAAAAATTCAGGTAAGGACGTTGTCAACAGTGGTTCAAGCCGTTGAGAACATCTCGCTGATCATTCCGTGACTTGACAACAGCCACCTTCCGAGCCTGTTCAGGAGCAGTACACAGCTTCCATGCCTGTTCTAGAGCAAGAGCCTGGTCAGGGACAAGACACAGCTTTAGTGGAGCAACTCAAGGCCCTCGTGAAGCAAAACGGGGATGTCATGAAGCAGAATGAGGATCTCATGAAGCAGAATGCGGATCTCGCGGCTCTTTTGGAAGAGAGCAAAAGGAAATTGGATGTCATGACAAAGAACGCCGAGAGAGCCAAGAAGAATTACATATCCGAAAAGAAGGTGAACAAGAGAAAATACGAGGAGATGAATGAGTTTGGGGGCGGCTTGAAGGTCCAACTCGACGCAACACGTCAGGCAGTCGCCGATCTGAATGCCGCCATGCACTTTGTACTGGAAAGAGGACACGAGGGTAAATTTTTCCACAAGGTATGCCGGCATCCCTCTACCAAATTTAGTGAGATTGCTGATGATTCGTTGGGTGCAGCTTTGGTCACAGACTCGCGAGTGGAAGATCTACTAAGAATGATCTATGGGCAGTATCATGGGACCTTCACAATTGTAACGGGTTGGAGTGCGTGAACTGTCCAAAGATATGGGCGCTTGGCTGGTTAGGGTTCACAAAGTAGAATTGCCTTGCAAAGTCAAGCTGCTTATCTTGTCATTCATGAAGGGTTCGAGGAAGAGGAACCGACTTGGTTTGTAGTTTACCATGAGGCTGGTCTGACCTGGTAGACGTCCACTAAAGCTCTATGAAGGAATGAAAAGGACATATTGACTGTCAAGCACCTTAATTCATGACTGGCGACGTGACTACTAAAACTAATGATTATCGATGTAAAATCGTTCTGTTGAGTCAATCTGGATGAGTTAACTTGCCCATAACTGCTAAATCCTGCATGTTCGCACCCTTTCTTGCCTTAAGGTGTGACAATGACTTCTTGAAACCTGAAAGAACTTGCGAGCAGATTTCTCAGACAGGATACCATATCTGAATTCTGTGACTGGTGATGAAAGTTGGCTTGTTGATGCATATTGATGCAATAGTGTGGGATGCTACAAAGACATCGCCTCAAAGACAACAACAGTAAGGTATGAACATCCGTGACGAATATGATAGGTATGATACTTGCAGTAAAGAAGTTAGAGGTTAAACAGGAAATGGAGTACACTTTTTAGAAAGCGCGATATAAAGAGGAGATATCACGCTTGGTGACAAAAGCGTGTGTACGTAAATGATAGGTGCTTGCGGTCAAGTTCACCCGTTGTGGACACATGCGGTTCACGGGTCAGAAGAAAAAGATAAAAGAATAAAAAAACAAACATTCGGATTTTGCATTGACAGCTAACACAACGCAGCTCTGGTACAACTCATGGAAGTGTGAAGACGGTATTGTGTGGTTGAGCAACAATAGAGGTATTCGGACAAACTTGACAAAAAATATGATTTTTGGAAGTCTCGAGTTGTACGTAGCATCCTCACTTCGTTTGTTGTTGGTCAGATATGCATGCTATGACAGGCAAAGAAACATGACCTGGCTTGCTGCCTCTAGGTCTCAGTTGGGTCAGGCAAGGGGACTTATAAGCGAAGTAAAGTGTTTGACCGGTCAATAGCATAAAGATCTGCGATGACGAGCAAAGAATTCGTCGTTGTGGTGAATATGTAGAGGTATACCTCGGCGATGTTCATTGACGTTACAATGCATTGGAGACAAGTGAGGAGCATGCTCCAAACGCGCATGTCTGACGATGAATCAGCGGGGGTAGCGGGTCGGGTTAGGGTTATGCAACGCAGCACCAGCCTATCAGCATGCACAAGACGACCCAAATCTTCTCCTGAATTGCCAACTCCCCGACTCTCTCAACTCCTCCGCCAACGTTTAGGAACGAATACAGCCACAAACCCTCTTTACAGCGATCACAACACCGTCCGAAACCTCGCTCACTTCCCACACCCGATTACTGTGGATTACACTAAACCCCGAATACTCTCTTGTAGGGGTCATTGACATTCGGGAATCCGGTCCATCCAAAGACAGTCAGGAAGGACAGCAGCCACTCTCGTTCGCCGAGCCCGCCCGCCCGCTTTAATAGAAGAACGTCGGGCCACTGCCTAATTGAGGACCTGACCATGTCGGCCGTCGAAAGCGAGGCTGCCACCAATGCCAACACCACATCTAACCAAAACAACAACAGCAGCCAAAACGGCAGCCTCTCGCCGCCCAAAGAACGCGAACGCAACTCGCTGACGCTCGACCAGCGCCGCGCCCTCCGACGATGGGCCAACTCGCAAACCGTCCGGCCTAGCCACAAGGCCTGCATCGAGTGGTTTCAAACGCAATACAATCAGACCATCTCTCAATCGACCGTCTCTCACTCTCTTTCTCCAAAATACGCCCGTTTGGATGGCGACCCGCAGCTCTCCGGCTCGCGCCTGCGCTTTGGCAACTGGCCCGACGTCGAGAAGCTCGTCCTGCTCTGGCACCAGCAGATGGTAGCCTCGGGCCGGCAACCGTCTAACGAGGAACTCGCCGAAAAGGCCAAGAACATCTTCACCCAATTGCCGCGCTACAAGGACGAAACAGCTCCAGAGTTCAGTCCGGGATGGATCCATCGCTTCAAGAAGCGCTATGGTCTGCTGATCCGCCGCCAGCGGCGCCACGGCACGGCGCCCAACCCAGCCGACGACATACCCTACCTCGTCGACGCCGTGGGCCGGTTCATGAGCATCACAGCCGACGTCTCCCCAACGGTGATCCGTGACACGGTCGTGCGCGTGGTGGGCGTCGAGCCTACGCTAGCCACGTGCGCGCGCGTGAGAGATGAAATCGTCAGGAAGATGGAGGGTCCTTCCCCCGCTCCCCATCACCAGCAACCTAACCCCCACCAGAACCAGCATCAGCAACACCTGGCCGGACTCCAGCAGCCGCAACAGCATCCCGCTCTGAACGCAGTTGGCGACACACCCATGGGCGGCTTTTCCCCCGACGACGACCCGGAGGTAGTCCTGCAAAATGCCCTGCGTGCTCTTCAACAAGAAGAAGCCGACGCTGAAGCCGAAGCCGCTGCTGCCCGCGAGGAACGGGAGCGCGCTGAGCGGGGGCTGCCTCCGTTGGGAACGATTGCCGGACAGGCTTATGCGAATGCCATGTCGACACCTGCTCGTGGTGGTGGTGCTAATGGGACTACTACAGGGGCGAGGTTCGTTCCCGGTTCTACGGGGGTAGAGGACCCGTTGACGCTGACGCCGATTCCGAGTGGAGGACCCGTATCTCTGACGGATCGGCCGGTCAGATGCCCGTTTTGTGTGAATCAGAGGATGTTGAGGACTATCAAGGAGGCGGTCGAGCATATGAGTACTCATGTCGTAGTTTGAGGGAAGATGTGAATGAGACAGAGACCCTTGCTTGGGACTGGCGTTATGCCTGCCTCGCTCCCGATGTCGAGGCGTGTTTCTTCTTCTTCTTCTTTGTTTTTGTAATGGGTTTAGTTTAGAGTTTCTTTCCCGTTCCCCGGTTTTTCTTTTCTTATTTTTTTTCTCCCCTTCTTTTTATTTCTTTTTTTTCGGTTCGTTTGTTGCATCGTTAAATATGTCTGTCTTGTTGGGCAACAGTCAGTCAGCCATGTTTATCCTGGCATTCCAGGTATCGCTATGTCTACTTGGGACTCTGGTGGATTGCAACTGGCGTTTTAGGTGTCAATTTCAATCAGCGGTATACGGTTCGTTGTACGCCCAACTCACTTTTCATAAGAGAAACGTGAGCCTTGGAGTTATTAGTTGGGGACGTGTATTGCATTTCTATGTGCTTTTCCAGAAAGAGTTTGCTAGATCTGGCCTTTGGGCTGGTGGACTTACAAGTGTTACAATGGTAGTGCGAAACGACATCGACTTCGCTACTCCTAACTATGTAAATATGTAACGAACTCTGACTGATTGGTGTGAGGGTGTCATGGCTAATATGGCTTCCTTTACCGAAACAAGTATGCGATGTATGTTTTTGATGGGCTTGGCATTTCCCGTAATAGTGTATGTAGTATTTGTTCAACTCCCAATGACATTGTAAAGCATATCACATATGCAATTATCGAAAGTCGCGATATCTTCAAATGTGGATTTATGCTACTAACTGGCTGCGAGTAGACCACCACTACTCTCTTTTCTCCGGTCATCTTTCGCTCTCATTTTTTTGATTACCAAAAACACCTTGTCTGCACATGGATATACTTGAATCTCACCAACACTGCAGAAACAATACCCCGTGTCACCCGCCATCTCGGTCAACATCTTGAAACACAAAAAGCCTCTGGGTGTAAATTCATTTCATTCATCATCCATTCACAAGGGCCCCTTCTTCTTCTTGTCCCTTGTCATCACCCTCAGCCCTACCACCACCACCACCACCACCACCACCACCTCTTCTTAATCCACCACCCGTCTTCGACCTCCAGTAGCAACGTGGTTTGGTATCAAATTTAATTCTTCCCTCCTCCCCCACGCCTAACCAAGAATCCATCTCCCAACTTGGCCCCACCGCAGCCTTCCAACTGCGCGCAGATCCTCCCCTAACTCTACTTCTTTCCTTTTCTCACCATGGTCACAGACTCCTTTGGCCTGACTCTCTCCTGAGCTGTTCCAAAAAAAAATATCACCGTATCCCAAAGTCCCTGCCGCATCCAAAATGCCCCATGACCATCTGCGTCCCAGATATTTTAATGAGTGGAGAGAGACGAGCCGATCAATTCGAAATGTATTACAACGACTGAACCGCGAAGTCCTATATGATTTACGTATGCGTTTGGGTATATAGCGTGGGGTATAGATATCGCATTGTGTGTTGGATAAAGAGCAAATTGTGGGCAGCCGTCGACGAGAAAGATGGTACGTAACTGAGTGCGCAAATGAGTATTTCCCTCCACGTTGCTCGCCTTGCTCGTGTATGTAGCCATCTGGCGTGGCTTTTGAAGACCGAGCGCTTAGTTTACCCAGTTGCTGCCTTCGAATCAAATGTTCGTGAAACATGGCGCATGTGACCATGGTATCCGAATGCGCTGCGTATCGGGATATGGCCAACAAACGTGTATGGGTTGGGGTTTCAAAGTCCGTCAGTCCATTATTCCACGTAAACGAGCAGCTTTTCGTTCCGTTGCAGTGCAATATCCAGATCTTCGTCGTTCATCAGAGGAGGCTTCTCGCCACTCGCGTCGTCCTTGTAACTTAGCTGAACGTGCTCGCCCTGAGGAATCTTGAGACGATCCAAAATCTTGTCATGGAGAGCTTGGAATGGAATATCAGTGGGTACGCGGATGGCGATGATGTCGCCGTTGAAGTGCAGTTTCACCTTCATCTGTGAACCACCCTGCATAATAGCAGGTGACAATGAGGTCTGTGATGCCTGCCCAGGTCCCGGAATCTGTTGGCCGTTGCCAATGCTCAGCTGCCTCTGAGGAACACCGAGGCCGGCAGAATATCTGTTGCCGGATGTGCTCTGTAGTGAAAGACCGTCGGCTGGTGAGTCAGAGGATGGACCAGAGCCTCCCGAGAATCGGTATTCCTCGCGAGCAACGCTAGGGTCGATCTCGTAATCACCCTCTCTAGGAGAAAAGAACTGCTTGACCAGGTTACAGCGGGAGATGTGTGGCGGTTGTTCCAGTAGACTTTTAACGTAAGAGTCAAGGTTGTGGCGGCGGCCTTCCGTAATCGCATCAGTCACGTAATTAACAGGACCGGGCATGTAGGGTAGCGTCCGCTGCTTGCCGCCTGTAGTTCCAGCTTCAAGAGGGAACTCGGTTAGGAGCGCGATTTGGAAGTCGTAGAAATCCTCGTAGTATCGCGAAAGTTCGAAGCATCGACCATCCTCCAGTTCGGCTTCAATAACAAACCAGTACTTGTCCTCGGCAAAGCAGTACCTCGGCACCCTGGCTGCGATGGGTGCGTATAGTGTCGAGGCTGGCCTCGAATAGGGTTGTCCTTGAGCCTGTATCTGTTGCTGCAGAGACCTGTTAGTACAAACACGCACGCAAGGTATGTGGACAGAATACACGTACCTGGGTATGAGTAGTCTGCTGGCTCAACCGGGCGCTTCCTTGCAAAGTTAAACGGTTCATGGCCTGGTCAAGTGGTTGTTGACCGCCACCGCCACCACCAACATCGAACTTGCCGAGCGTTATGCTCGAGTTCTTATATTCCGCAGCCATCTTCTTCCACTCCTCGACCTTTGGAATCCCAGCTTTTCGTACGGCATCATGGGGGTTCGGGACAGGGGTGTTACTCGCCATGTCCCGGATTTCAACAAAGGATACGGGAATTAGACCCGGGCCGCCAAGTCTTCCAATGGGCTTAGCTACGAACCATTCGGGGTTCGACTGGGCAATGACAATGATGGCCTCGCCCTGCTTGGCTTCCAATTCGTCTGCCCGTTCGGCTTGGAAATCGTACAAAACGACACCATAAACCATGGCTCCATTCTTGCCAGGCGTTTTCGACATCCGATGTGCGGCGTTTGCTCCAGGAGGCGAGGCCGCCGAGCCTTCGCCGTATCCCGAATCACTATCTACGGTCTTCAAACCCAGGGAACCGGTTTGTGACTGGCCGCTATCGCGTTCCGTACGTCCAAGGGCCTGGAAATAAGCGACGGGCACGAGACCACGAGCGTCTGGTAGCGCAGGGTTGCATGCCTCGTACCACTCTGGGTCGTTTTCACGACCGATAACATGGAAGAAATCGCCGCGTGAAAAGCTAAGCTCCTGTGCATTTTGTGCTTCGTAATCGTAAAGAGCTTTTATAACCTGTGATAACAAGTTTAGCCTAAGTGCCTTGTGGTTGGCACCTTGTTCCGAGACATACCTTCTTTGGAGGGACGATGGCGACGGCAGATTTCGGTTGAATAGTAATATGAGGTTTGGAGTCCTTCTCTCCACCCTTGATGGACCTTCGTAAAGCCTTGAAACCGCGTGACATTGTTAGTTGCCAGAACGACGAAACCGCAGTATTGAAATGAGTAGTCCGACTAGGCCAAGAAAATTCAAGAGGTGCTGTGGGTGTAGATGGAGCAGACACTAAGAAAAAGGATTCTTCCGGTTCCCGCAAGCTGTATTGCATCGTGACGAATTGGCCAAGAGAAGAACGCCTATGTGATGGTGTATGAATACCTGAGCCGTAGCCCGATCCTATCTCTCATGTCCCCAATAGCAGTGAAGCCTCTGCCATACAATCACGAGGGCTGTTCTTTGGGGAACGAGCGAAAACGATCGGACTAAAGAGGAGGGAAGAGAGAGGGGATGGCAGAGCACAGAACAGCGGGGAATGACGTACCTTCATCTTGTCCGACAGCGATACTCAGACGACTTGTAAGCTATGTGTACACAAACCAAAACCGGAACTATTGTGCTATACACAGAGAGAAACAGGAACGGCTGACGGGGTGAGGGGCGTCAGCAAACAACTTTTGGAGCGGGCGTCCTGGTGTCGGCGTGCGCGGGCAATCGTGGTTGGGGTTACGCCGACTCAAATGACGGACGGCGCGAGGTCTTGCCTAGGATCCCTCTGGGGTTGGTCCTGGGCGGTTCTGCTCGTGTGTGTGGTGTGTGTGTGTGTGTCGTGGAGGGTGTTGCTGGGTGGAATCTGTGTAACGATCCAAATGGGCCGTATGTATCGGTCGGATGGGAGCCGGGAAAGCAGCGCGACGATGACGGGAGTGGATATCGCGGACGGGGTCGTTATCTGCTACACTAGTGTTTGCGACCGTGCGAACGTAAGGGAGACGTAATTTGGGAGCAGCGGTTGTCCAGCTAATTTCGGCGACCGTTTCGTGTAAAATGGTCGCGCCCCAATACTTCTGTTCCCCAAGTGGATAGCTGACCCCAAGTTCGCTGTCTGGCCGAGTTTGCCTCAATCTTGGCTTTCCGTCTTTGTCTGAGCCTGATCAGGGCCGCCTGGCGTGTGGGAGTGTGGTGTTGATGCAATTCTCTTGTTCCTTTGTTCAGCCGCAATGCCGACTGCCTAGACCCAATGCTCAATGCGCAATTCCCAGTCTTGCGAGCGCTTCTGGAATGTCTAAGTACAGTGGTGGACAATCCGCCGGGAGTTGCGTTGGATGTTGCGAGTGTTGTCGGCGATGATGGACTTGACTGTCGCAGTAGGAAGGTTGGTTGTCGAGAGTTGGAACTGATGACTGTGAAGCGAGCGAACAGGTGGGAATGGAAACTGGAAACTGCACGGTGGCGGGGAAGGATCAGGATCAGGTGGGATATATGGCCTGCGTGCCTTGCGTGCTAGGTAGTCCTCGGGACGGGCAGCAATAGCATTAAAAAAAAATAATAAAAAGGGAGATAGCAACAGCCCAAAGCCAAGCTTGCAACGGAAGCAGCAAGGGTGATCACCAAGGGTCGGGTCCAGGTGTGTTCTCGCAGAGTGGAAGCCGACAGGGTGTGGAGGTGGTGGCCGGAGATGGCTCGAAGACGGGCGGGTAGGTGTGATGAAGGTCACAAGCAAGTCACCAGCCTAGCCGAGACGGACGGCATGGAACATGTTGGAAAAACAGCCACTCAGGCTTGCTTATTCGCCTAGTGTCTGTTAGTGTCTGCTAGTTTATGTCCGTGTCCTGAGCGTGAAAGGGTGGCTGCCTCTATCTAGCCGTTAGCAACCGCATGACAATGGACGGCCAAGGACCTCGACTCAAGAGGGGAATTGTAGCGTTGCAGCAGCGCAGAGGCCGCGCGGGCAGGTACCTGAAGGCACCCCGGCCTGGTTGATTGGCGCAGTTGCTGCCCTGCAGTTGGTGCAATTGGAGAGCGCCGCCAGGGTTCTCACGTCCAGAGGGACCCACCCTCCCTGGACCTGGCTGTGGGTTCGAATTGGCTTTCGTTCTTACCTCCACTTTCTTGGCCGCTCTCGATCTTTGGGATTCCGGACGTGCCCACCGCGATACGACCAGGAACTTTGCGACAAACGAATGAAAGAAGTCGGCCAACGTCAAATCTCAACTGAAACCAACCAGCTTGCTAGTCTTACAAGATCTGATCAAAGATGAGCCGCGCGCAATGAGGCCATTGAACAGCTAAGATTGCTGCTC